AGGGAAAGGAAATGGACATTCTCATTACAGATCCAGAAGTTACCATTGAATTTAGTTATGGACTTTCGGAGCTGACTAAACTGTTGTAATTAAGAGACCAAGAGAAGTCTTTCTGATGTAACAATTGATGCCAAAGAAAAGCTCATTTTGTAGCACTCACACAGAAGATCCACAGAATTGTGCTAAGTATCCCCATGCAGTATTTCCAGGTAGAAAAATGTATCATATTTATTATAAGCATACAAGTGAGCATTGGTAATCACTGTATTTGAAGATGACCATGTTGTTCCACAGACCTTCAAATTGTATGAAGTGCCCAGGTTTAACCTAAGTAAAAAGTCATGTCCAACAAGAGCAATGTGTTGGCAAAGAAATAAATGAAACAGAAATGCAAAGATGTAGGAGTAATCATATATGTTGTTAGATGGTTCTCTTCTCAGGCCTGTTTAGCCTGTCTCATGGTTACTAATCTTCTAATTTTATGCCTTCTGTCTCTTTCAACAATGTATTTAAAGGCCGGATGTCTTAGTCTTTCCCCTTTTCACTTTAAACATGACATGTAACTGACATACTCTGTTAAGTGGTTTGACCTAATTCTAGCAGATTACTATTAAGTAAGTTAAATTAATGGTAATAATTGATTGCTTGTAATAACAACCAATGTGATAGCGATATTAATTGGCATCTAAATTAGCAGATGGCAGCTTTTTGTTTTCGAATTTTCAATGTTTCCTTGTAAGACTATCTCTTTAAAACTCGGGGTAAAAGATTCTCGCTAAGCTGGGTAATTACCATGAGATGTTTTCTAAGCTGAAGTGTTTTCCTCGATCCAATCACCCTGTTGTTGTTTCTGGTAAATCACCATGACTGGGTTTGGACACGACAAACCATCACTGATGACAATCAACAGTTGCTTGTCATGTTGTGCAAAGCCAGTCAATGTGAGAATTAAGGATGCACTGACATCTCTCCCATTGGAATTAATGGGACTTCAAAGGGCTTAACTTGTGTTTGATTGTGCACAATCTTCAAGGAAAATTAGGCTTAATAATTATGTGTTTATCTGTATGAAGGGAGGCAGAAGACCCTCAGGGGTCCAAAATACATCAAGGGTGATGAAGAAGTTGACTGTAATATAACTGATACTGTCCAGTATAAGCCCACTTGTGTCTGACATGACTGAAACTATCAAAATGTTTAAGTCATAAAGAGCTGTTTGTTCTGAATGATGGTGAAGATACAATTTATAACGTTCTCCAACTAGATCAATTTAATGCTGTTCCCAGGGAATAGATGACTTGAGACTTTGATTTCATCAGATATATGACTCATAAAGTACAACACAGCAAGACCTACAAATTAATGAATGTATATTATTTACATTTTTATTTAAACTCTTCAACAATACATCTGCCAAACATTCAGATATTTATACATACAGTTGCTGTGCATATATATATATATATATATATAGAAAAATATTTTAGACTCAAGAACCTAAAGGAGCTGAGAAGACATTATTGCTAAATTTCAGCATTTACATGAAACAATTTGAACAATAAAACAAATCTGAAAATATCGAGCTGTTGCATAAGTATGTTCTCAACAAAAACAAAATTATAAAAATATAACTTTTGAGTATATTAAAGGAAAAAAATCTTTCATCCGTGCCAATAAAGTACCACAGTGTTTACAATTATTATGAATTTGCCCAAAACAGCTATGTAAGCCAAAAGGTTTGTTTGTTTTTTTTAATTATAGAAGAATCAAACTACACATTACACTATTTTTAGCCTGTAGCTGGAGCTTCTTTTTTATGTAGGCATCCATGGACCCAGTTCAGACTGGAACCATAGTATGCTGGTGGGAGAGTTAAATGTATTCCCTCACCCATTTTCCTATGAAATCGCCTTCCATGGGATGTGTGTTAAAAGTAAAGGAGTGGGGAGTCTAAATTGGTATGAAGGAGGCTGCCCCCCCCTTTAACCCTCCAAGGAGAGGGGAATCCTAGGAAACACTGAGGGAGGAGCAAGAGGGTTAACCATCCCTCCAGGGGGGGTTACAGTCCTGTCCATATTGGGGATACACATGTTTATGTGACAGCAAAAAGCAAAGCAGGTCTCACTGCATGCTGTGGGATTAGTGTAATGTGTAGTTTGGCCCTAAGAAGTAGAGGGAGGGTGTAATGCATGACACAAGCCCTGTTCTCCCCTTCCGTAGCTCCATACTTTGAATGCGCAGCGAGAGGAAAGGGATTGTTTCCTTCAGTTCCCATGATTTCCATGGAAAGTATGAAGTAACTTCACATATGTACAGCTGTATGCACATCAGCTCATGGGCTCTTCTATGCAAGTGAAACCTTCTACCTCATAAAAAAGGTTTCCCACTGCATGTGGACATGAAGAGCTGCATATGTATAGAGCTCCTTTCGCACCTTCTACTGAATGTATGAAAGTCCAGGCCTGCACAGTCCTGCTCCCTGCTCTAGTTTTGTTACAAGCCTCGTCCAGGCTGGACCAACGGTGAAAAGAGGGCTATCAAGTGAACACCATCTGGTGGCTCCAGCACACACACAGGAGTTGATCTAGATGTAACTCTCTGGGCATCCAGAAGCGTCCCCAGTCTCAAAAGAGTGAGATCACCTGCAAGTGCAGTGGGAACATCTGGAGTCATCTGTGGAGCATTTCCCTTCACAGAAGAGAATGGGAAGCCACCACTCTGGTAGAGCTCATCCCCTCCACCAGTGAACCATCCCCTCCGCACAAACCCTGACAAACTTTAGAAAGGTGCAACAGCGTAAATAACCTCTGTGCAAGTGCCTACCTTTTGAAGTCTGGCTAACAAATTTCTTAACTATAACCCCAAGCAACATGAGAGCAAATGCAACCATAGATCAGATACACAGAAAAAACTAGTAGGGTTCAGTGTAAATTGAGGGCACCAGCAGTGGATTGTTAATTATTTTGTATTTGGGAAAATAGTCACTAGACAACCGTAAGCATCTAGAATATCTTAAAAAGCAGATCTTCACCTCACTGCTCCTTCTACTCAGCTTTGGAAGAGTGGAAGCAGCTTCAAGATACATCCTACCCTGGCCACTTCGGTCTACTTACCTACAGTGTTAGTCCCTCTCTGAGATTGCTTTCCCGACCTTAAAGAACAGATAGCATGCTTCTTTTTTGGCATCTGCAAGAGGCCAGGGAGGAATCAGAGCTTGGATTCCCAGCTATGAGGTCAGAGCACCCTCTCCATTCTTGGAAATGGTAATCTGAACAATCACATGGCACCCCAGACAATATCTAGGGGCCAGGGAACTGCTCCTTTAAAAACATTGCATAAGAGTGAATAGTTAATTCAAAAAGGGAAATATGAATCCAACAGAAGAGGCTGGTGTGCTGTAAATAAGAACATTCTTCAGAACTGGTCTAACACCTAATGCCTTTCTCTAGATTTTTGCTGATTTAAGGAAAACAGGACTTTTAGAAAATCAAAGAGCCTTTTTAAAAGGTTAAGCAGTATTTGGTGGTCAGGGCCAGCAAGAACAATTTTTGCATCAAGCAGAATTATAGATACATCATTCCTTACTCTGCCTGTCTGCTAAATACTCCATTTCACTCTACAATGAAAATTCACAAATATCAAATAAGTTGCTTTTCTTATTAATGTTGCCATCTCATACACAGTGTTGCAGAAGGAAAAAAACCCTTCCTTATGACTGCACAGGTTTTATTTGCAGCAAATATTAAAAGGTGTAAAAAAAATACACCCAAATGATGCTTTGGGGAAAATAAGAAAAACATCTGTTTTACATACCACCACCACCCCAAAAAAAGGAAAAGAAAGAGGAAAAGAAAAATAAACCCCTCTCCTTAAATACCTCATACCATTAACATTCTGTCTACTCTCTCTTCAAACCACAAGAGCATAAAAGAGCCTGTTTTGAAATGAAACATCTTTCACCAAACCTGGCAGCTAATTAGATATGATACATTACACTCACGTCTACAATAGTAGATGGAGGTGTAACATTTTGCTAATTTGGAAATAGCCACACAGCAGTGTACTTTTTCTTCCCAGTACATGCTGTGGGAAAAGGATGCACCGACTCACTTTCTGATCCAAGGATAATGGGATAAAAATAACACACTGGACAGCCATTGCTACATTACAAAATACTGCTATGTATGTACGAATAGGAACCTACACATATAAGCAAGCAAGCACAGAAATTGTCTCCGGTCTCCTGCCCTTCCCACACTTTTACATATGTTCAGACTGGAATGGAAGAGGAGGAACAGGAATGAGAGACTTACAAAATGGGAGCTGTCATAATCTCCAATGACCTACAGCAGGGGTGGAGAATCCATGGGCATCCAGGAGCTGTCCAATTCAAATGCTTTGACCTTGGGCTGTGCTGGCTAGGACTGATGAGAAGATCCAGTTCTGCCTACTCTGTTCTAAAGGATGACCCAGTTTTAGTATGTATGCTCAGCTATGATTCAGTCTTTCTGTATCCTTCTGCGCTTGGATTGGAAATGTTGCTTTTTGCTTCCATTTTTAGCATTTCCAAGTTTGGGAAGTAATTGAAATTGGTACTGATATTTGTATTTATTCATTTTCAAACATGAACATCAACTTCCTAGAGTCAGAACCCTCCATATCTGGTGGGGTTTTTAAAAGATTCCATATGCAAGTTTTTAAATGTTTCTTCCCACTCCCAAATCTGCTTCTACACTACACATGTATATAACACGGCAACTATACACAGATTCTAGCAAACAGGGTAGCAATGCTGTAACTGTATGGGCAGTCTACTTTTGTTTCAAACAGTATGTGATCAAAAAAAAGAGAGAGGAAAGAGGGGGTGAGAGAGAGAGAGAGAGAGAGAGAGAGAGAGAATTACTGCAATATTCCTACTACCCTTGTTGTAGTACTGAATAAAATTATAACAACCAGTAGTCATCCCTAAAACAACAGCAGATTTTCCATCAAGACTGGCTGAGTCAGTTCTTAAGCATCTTCATGTGTGAGTAGAGGCTGAGTAGATGAAGCACTGCTGCCCACTGAGTTAATTCTCTCAGAGTGATCTGTAGCATTTCCTTGGCTGCAAATGCCACTTGCAACATTTGAGTAAATCTGGAAAAAGACATATACTGATACTCAGTGACTGCACATGATACCAAACTAATTATCCATTCCTCTGTATTTATCCCAAGAAAGTTAACCTATAGGTCTGGACTTTAACCATTTAACAAATAGGCTCTTGATTACAAAAGTTGATGCTACAAGCAATTTTCAAAAGTTTTGTGTGTATGCATGTGTGCGTGCTTGCACACTTAGATGTGTTAATCTGTTGCAGTAAAAACAACCAACAGTAGTATGATATGTTAAAGAGCTTGATCAGAGTCAAGCTGCATCAACTGTACTGATTGGCACTCCAAGATTTAATATAGACTGAGTGTAAGTTCTTGCTGAATCCCTGGTATTATTGAAACATGGGCTGTCACGTTGTTTGAACCTAGCCATGCAACAAATCATGGTTTGTTAACCATAAGCAATCCACAGTTCACAGCCAAACAGCAAACCGTGGGTTTCTTTATGGGTTGTTCATGATTAACATGTCTAATTATAATAGATTATAATGTGGGTTCAGACACATGGAAATGTTTAAAATTTTGTATGAAGACATAGTTAAGAGTTCATACATAACAACTTACAAAGAAACCAACTCTGATTCCCAAATGTTATTCTCATTTTTTAAGGTAAACTTGGAACTTTGTCAAAACAAATGGGAAAAATACTTTTGGACACCCACAATTGGCTTTTTCCTCTCAGATCAAAATTTCAGTTTGGAAAATTATTTCATTTCCACTCTGTCTTATGATCTGTAAGGATCCCCCATCGCCACAATGTGACTTCCATGAAATTAAAACAATACAGTTATGTTGGGAGTGCTTCTATACCACGTAACACATAGGGTCATCAGGCCACTGTGACTCTTCTTATTTCCTTTCATCCCTTTCTCTTCCTTGATTTGCTAGCAATTGCATAATCAGTTCCCTGACTGTGTACTACTTCAGTGGCTTGCACTGTTTCCAGAAAAGCTGCCAATTTGAGGCCACAATTCATTAAGTGCCGACCCTGAAAGAAATGATTTGAAGATATGCAGAACAGAGTTTAAGGATTACTTCCTTCATTAAACACCTTCACAGAGCCAAGAAAGGTGTGTAATGCAGAGGAAAATAGAAAGGAAACATTTACAGTGTACATTAAACAGGACACTCGGCAGTTGTCTCATCAGGAAGTCAGGTTGACAGGCTCAATGCTTACATGGTTTGTGGTATCTGAAATCTGCTGTTCAATCAGTTGCACAATTTGCTTGAAAGTTGGTCTCTTTACAGGATCAGCATCCCAGCAGCTCCTCATTATCTCATATCTGCAGACAGGGTTAGAATTTATCCACTGAGATTCCGGCAGCAGATAAAATATTAATCACAAACATGAGAAAATTTAAACGCATACGATTTTATTGCCTGTTTCTAAAACAAACCACTAGTTTAATGATGAATAAAAGGACAAGTACAGTGGTTAAGTTTCCTGTTCAAATCTTTTGCTTCTGTCATGAATTCACCACACAAGGGTGAGTTCTCAGTGCAGCACTACATCCAAAATAAGGGGATAATGCTGACTGTACTGAAATCATGGATTTAATAATACACATCTTGAACACTCTGAAGTGCTAAATAAATGCTACATATTATGATTGTCCCAAGAGTGTCTGTAATCACAGGGGAGAACCAAATGAAAAGCTAGAAGTTTCTTTTAAGCTTCTGTTAAAGCCACTAGCTGAACATGCAATAATTTTAAACTATGAAAGAGTTTGCTTGTTCAAATGGCTGAGCAACTGCACAGAAGTATCAAAGACACCTTCAGCTAGACCCACAACTCTCAGTTGCGTGCACACAGTTTGTCGAATGGCAGCCAGTATAATTAATTCTCCTGATAAATTCTGCAGGTATTATGAGCTGGTCTCTTTGTCATGAATGGGAATCCCATTTCTGGAACTTTTTAAAACCCTTTATCTAACTTTCGAAGGGTATAATTGCCCAATATTCCTGCTATCAGACTGCCTGCTATCAGACGGCTACAGCCTTCTTCCAATACCCATTGCCTTAACTGGTGCACTAGATAAGCTGAGTGTACCCCCTTGCTTAAAGAGCTTAGCACTGTTTGTGGAAAATAAAAAATAGGATGTATACGAACACTTTGAAAACTCAATTACTGCAACATACCACAAACAAGGTGCTGTCCAGATGTTTTGGACTGCAATTCCCACTATTCCAGACCATTAGGTAGACTTGGTTGGGGATGACAGATTGCAGTCCAAAACATATGGAGAGCACCATGTTGAGGAAAGCAGGCTACTAGCTATCCACAAACCCTAAGCTGAAACAGACTGTGAAACCTAACATTTTCTTTTATGCGTCATTTGCGTAATGCAGCAGAGGACAGGTAAGTATATGCCATACTTTTGTGGATCATGCCACATCAGATCCAGTTCTGGAACCAGATGGGCTTGAAAGTTTCTGGACAGTGCCTGATGAAATTTCGGACATTTGTCAGCAGACTTTGCTTGAGCTAGAATTCAAGCAGCAGGGATGAAATGAAGAAGAGGAGGCACAAGTGCCAAGTCCAAGTAATTTCACCAGTCCAATATAATCCAGTGCTGATTTATGCAGAAAAAACAAATACAGGCAGATGTGAGAAGGGGCCATGTCTCAATGTGAGAGCATAAACTTTTCATGTAAATATTCCAAGACATCTTCAGTTCAAAGCAAAGACTTTCACCAGAGACCATGGGGGAGGGGACTGCTGCCGGTAAATTCTGGGCTACGAGGCCCAGAAATTCATATGCCGTGTACTTAATTTAGGTGAATCATCCAGATTGCTGAGTCCACTTTCTCTGCGTAGTCTGATTCACTTGGTTGCTTGATTTTGCTTTTCAGTTTTTAAAAATACACGCAGAATGCATACAACTGTGAACACAAATTACTAAGCAAGTACTCCAGTCTTACCCATATGTACTTAGCACTGTTTCACTGGTGTCTGCCTGCCAGGTGAGGGCCAGTTGTAAGGGGATTCAGTAATAGTTACAATACAATTACGACTTACTCCACTACTCCAACTTTGGAGAAGGGGGGGAAATGCAAAACGTTATTTAAATAAAAATCTGGACATTTGTCATTTTCCATTTCAAAATTGTTGAAAGTTTAATGTCTCACATTTCAGCAGGTGCAAATTCTGGGCTAAACATTCTGTATCCTTCCTTAATCCTTTTATAGAACTTGGAATCCACAGGCATTCCAGGGTAGGGGCTGCTTCCTGTTAACACAGAAGCAGAATTTTAATATATCATATCACGTTCTTAAAATGAAATATAAGAACCAAGTAATAATCTCTTTTGATTTACACAAAGTGTGCCTTGACAGTCAAACACAATTTACCTAGAGAAAAGAGTTCCCAAAGCAAAATTCCGTAAGACCAGACATCGCTCTCAAATGTGTACACACATTCAAAGATGCTTTCAGGTGCCATCCACTTCACAGGAAGTCGTGCCTTTAACAGATTAGAGAATGTTAGCTGCCTTCAAACTACTAATCACTAATTAATCGACAACATCTGAATTTACATATTAGCAAATGAAAGCACTCAAAGAATGCTTACCACTTAATAAAATAGCTACCATCACTTGAATAACCATAATTAAGTTTCTCTTTCATTCTGTATTACATTCACACCTAAAAACCAAAATTTCTCTCTGGCTTCATCAATTGAGCAAGGAACTAAGTTCCTTGCTTCCTAAGCTACTGGAAGTTTGTAACCCAGGCTTCCCAGAAAGAACACAGCAAGGCGAAGGCCAACCTCGTCCCATCCTTTGGCTGAGGAAGATGCAGGATGCTTTGCTTTGCTTCCTGCTCCTTGCCAGGCAGAATACTCTGCTGCCTTGGAACCGCACAGTGGAAGGAGCACTGTTTAGCTCTGTCTAAGCACTACAGGGGACTAAGTGCCACACGACTGTCTCTTACCAAAAACAGTTAAGCAACCAATTTCAGCTGTCCAACAGTGGTGACTTGGAGGACGAGGTGATGCCAAGATATGTCATGCATCTTGGTGGTGCTCATCCCCTCCCCTCCTCCTGGAATGCCCACTAAACCTTTTCCAAGGTTGTTTTGTAAGCTCAGAGAAGCAGCCAATGCAATTCTTTCTCAGTTGGCTGGAAGGTGGAGGAGTGGGATCTTAGCATATATCCCCAGCTCTGAGGCCAGGTGATCTGAGTGTGGATCCAGAACTCCAAGTTCAGAGCTATTATCTGACCTTGGAGCTAAGAATCCAAGCAATCCTATGGACCCCAGATGCTATCTAGAAGCCATAGCATCACTCGGTAAATATGCTCTTACGCTGCTAATTAAAATTGGTCTTCAGCAATTTGTCAACCAACACTTTTGCTGATGAATCTATGTATTAAATCTTTTATACCTTCCACTAACAGCATGGTTTCTATCAGAGTACCAGAGCTGTAGAGATAGCTATGCATTTTCATATGCCAGCAGACCAAGGCAGTGGAAGGAGCATTATTTCTGAACCCATTATGAATCATCTAGATATCTTAGGGTGGTTCTAGATAAGACTTCTTTCATGCAATTGCCTTTCCATGTTCACAGATTTTTTTTGGGGGGGGAGGGCAGGGGAGAAATCCAAATGACATTGCCACCCATTTGTAGCCCTGCGAGGCTTAAAAAAATGAGGAACGGCTACCAACAATGCCTTTTGTTTGGTAGCACTAGGAGTGCTTTGTCTGGAAAGATCCTGAGATGGAATTGACCAAGAATCTTCCATTCTATTTAAGGTTCTGCCCTTACATTCTGAAATGTTTAGAGCTCACTTAGGGAAGGACTTTCTTTCTGGCCTGATCCTGCAAAAATGGCTCATCTGGTGTCTGGTAAGAATTCTAGAATTACTAAGGTTGTAACATCTTTTACATTTAGCTGCCGGGAAATTTAAGTTAGTTACAAGAGCTGGCAACCCTGATAGCCAAAATAATTTAGTACTATCTATAGAAAGTTAGTCAGACCATGGTTTTACAAACCATGTAAAATCAAATTAACTTAAAAGTCATTCTCCTAAGACATGTCAGATGGTTTTATGTGTACAAAGGAGCTTTGAGCTTGTGTTTCTTGAACAGGAGTGTCCGCAATGCCATATGGTGAAACATTTTTTGAAACTGAAGGACTGGTCAAAAACAGCCTGTGATAGAATACATTTTCTGTGCAAAGAAAGTCAAATGGGTTCTCCTTTGGGCTTTCCTAAAGGAGGTCCAAAGACTTTTCTGTGGCTCCAGTTTCTATACTTAATGTTACTGTGGGATGTGTAGTTACTACATGAACTGTTTTAAGTTTCAAGTTTTTCTATCACTTCTATACAGTTCTGAAAATACATGGTGACCCGTTTAGTTGGTTTTAGATGTCAACAGTACAGACTTTGGTTATAATCAGAGCATTTCACAATACAATTTCATAATCTATTTCATCAAACAGCGACCACTGTACTGTACAACAAGAACACACTGTTTGGGTTAAGGAAAGCAATCTGCATTACAGCTTCATCTAATTAATTGAAGCAGGGCCTTGAATCAGAATGACAAATTTTAAAGCCATCCTCCCTCTGATCGCTCAAGGATGATCAAGTAATTCTTTCTGCAGACAGACTGAGGTAGCTGCTGGCTGGTGTCACTTTCCAGAGCAACCAGGGTTCTCCTAGCATCTGCTCTGAGATTATGCCAGACACAAGTAAAAGACATGTTATATTCTCAGTTCCTAACAGTGTTACTCAACGCTGTATCCTGATTCTTTCATGCCATGAAACATCAGGCAACTGAGGACACGGAAATCCCTAATCTACACAAATGGAATGCAATTACTTACTGCCCACCTGCAAGCTGTTGTCCCATACTTGGAAGGAAAAGACTTGCTGAAGATAATTAGCCTGAAGATAGAAATTAAATCTGGTCTCTCACTTTAGGGATTTTTTTTTTTTTTTTGGTACAGACATTATTAAGGGGCTTTTGCGGCTTTTATTGTTTCTCCTCAAATTGCCTACATCCCACACTGAATATTGCAGGGGCACGTAGTGGCGGTTAAAACTGACTGAAGAGGAAGGATTCTTTGCTCAAGACATGGATGAGCCAGATCCTCATTATCTCAGGAGACTGTTCCGGCTACACTGCCGGTACACAGGAAGAGATTACAGGTTTAACAAAGGGATTTAGTTGAGGGGAAGTTTGCTTGAGGGGAGGACATTTGCAATAAGCTAACCGATGGCAGAAGGGAGTTCTTTCATGCTGTCTGTTTGGAGGACCATCCTAGTTTTCTTTTCCCCTCCCTGCTTACCTTCCTTCCCAATCCGAGTTGCGACCTCTAGGCAAAAATTGTTTGGTATGTAGAAGTGTGATCTCCAGCCATTAAGGATCAAATCAACTTCTATGATGTGCCTCAAAAAGTAGTAGCTTCTACCCAGACAAACTTACATTTCCTTTTACCACGTAATTCGAGTCATTCCTGATATCTCTCGCAAGGCCGAAGTCACAGATTTTTGTGATCCGGCCATGGGTTAGTAAGATATTCCTTGCTGCCAGGTCTCTATGAATGCACTGAAAGGCATGAATTACAAAAAGAAAGAATTACAAAACAAAAACAAAAAACCCATATATGCAGCATAAAGGAAAACCTATGGCTTTACACTGTACACTACTATAGCATAGAACTGGTGATATGTTACCTAAGAGCAATCTAGTCTTAACATATTTTCCAAGTCCCACTGATACAGCAGAATGACTTTGAGAAATAAAGAACCAAGTTCCTCATGAATACAAGGTGAATTGTGCCTGCACAGCTACAAAAGGATCCTATGGTTAATGAGTTAACCTTGCTTTAGTTTATGCCAGTCTCCATTCTGATTCAGCTCTACTACAATTGTAGTAGCACAGCCTTTGACAACCTGATGCTCGGCATATGTTTTAGATCATAACCCCCCAGAATTCCTAGCCATTGGCCGTACTCTGAAGTACAAAACATCTGGAGGACATCATGTTGAAAAAGGCTGGAGCAAAGGCTTGCTTCCCTTCCCTTCCATCTACCAGCTTAGCATGTGATTTATGGCATGTTCACGTAGAAAAGAGTTCTATGTGAATCAATAGCATATACTTCCAAGTAATGTCTTCAGGACTGGAATAATTTTACTCACTTTTATTGAAGACTTAATTTTCTTGCCCCTCATGAGCAAACAATCTACCCCTTTTACCCAAAGTCCTGAGTGACTCTACTGTAAAATTAAGGCCAGACATTTTGTGTGATGCGGAGAAGTCAGGCAAAGGAAATAAATGCTTTTAAAGGTTATATTAAGGGCTGACTGTACACATCACTGTCTACCAGTACCAATAGTAACAATTTAATTTAAAATGTTCACGCCACCATCCTGATGGCCATTTTTTTAGGTTGCAGGACTACAGTCTTCCTGACCAAACTGGGGGCCAGAGAACCTGCCCAAGCCATCACAATATCCCATCTCCCCTAGGTTTCCTGCCAATCTGCTAAAACCTCTTGCCTCCCAGTGGCAGATATATCTGCTGATGTTTAAGAACTGATTAAGAACCCCTAATCTGACATTAGGCAAAGTGTAAAGAAATCAGAGCACAAGGCTAAAGGTAGCCCAGAGGCCACCAGTGAACTTTCCTCCCTCTGAAAGATGACTCGTGAATGAAAATTTCCACCACTGAAAGTTATTCTACAATGAGTCTACAAGAAGAAGTCATTATCTCCCTGAGTTCTTGACATACGTTTTTAGAAGAAAGGAAGCTCATCCCCTTTGCCACTTGATAAGAAAAACTTAATAGGTCTTCAATATTCAAAGCCAGTTCATCATCTTCTAAGATGGCAATGGTGACATCCTGATTAGCAAATGATCCTAAGCAACACATGGGGGAACAATACATAAATGGATTAATTATGGCAGTTTCGGAAGATAGCAGGCTTTCTATTAACAGAGCACGGCACTGAATTAACACGGAAATGCCACTCAAATGCATAATCTGCTATCAATGCATGAAGTAATTCTGAACATCCTCTCTAAATGTGCCTGCCCAATGGAAAACAGAATTCATTTTCAGCTTCAGCATAGATTGTTAATGTTATATTAATGTTGAATTAGTTTTTTTTTATTTGGACAGAATTTTTCCTTCCTTAACTTACCTGGCCTTCCGGGATTTCTGTCTGTGGTTTTGGCATGTATGATCTGAGATACTCCTGGTTTCATGTCCATGTATTCATTAGTGGCATCACTGCATAGAAGGCAGGGACAGTGTGAAGTTACTTAATATGCAGAATTCCTTTGTCATACAAATAAAACCTGGCTTTTACAAAGGCAGCTGCTAATCATCAAGGTCCCCAGAACCATGCCTCCAAAGACAATCCAAAAATTAAAGTAGCTGTGTAGAACCATATAAAAAATAAAGTCCTAGCAACCTTCATCTCCAACTGAAGGCGGTCTTCTGAAAAGCTGTGTCTTAATTGTCCACTCAAGACCAAAACACCCGAAATATTTTACACTGCAACAGCTGCTCACAGCAATACTAAGTTACTGGGGAGGCGCAGCTAAATCCATCTAAGGGAGTGGCACAAACTGCATCATTCCTGTTAATCAAAAATTCCTGGTGCTTTGATCCTGAGAGTCCTGGCTCTACTACCCCACTGATCTCTGAGTTCTATTCTTTTCTTTCTTTTTTTAAGAAAAAGGTATCTAAACAGAATGTAAAGAAATTCATTTCATAAACAAATTGTTGCAGAGGATGGATCACTCAGCAGATGTAGGTCCCTAGGTCCAATCCCTGGCTGTTCTGATGAAGGCACCTTAGGTAGCATCTGTTGTAATTACTTCTGCACTGACACCCTTATTAAACTCCAGTGACCACACCTGTGTTGTCATTTGTGTTCAGGGTATATCCGTTGCCAGTCAAGATTTATAGCCCCTCAAACCTGTGGCCTGGTTCCATTTAAACCGGTGTTTTCATACAAAGATCTATGGTATGAACAAAGAGGGAGGAAGACATTTTTCTTCTTCTCCCACAATAGTAGACCCTGGGGTCATCCCATAAAGCCAAGTAGTGAGATTCAGGACAGAGACGAGGAAACGCTTCTTCGCACAGCATATACTTAAGCTGCGGAGTTCACTTCCATCAGATAGCCATCAGTCTGGACAGATTTAAAAGGGGATCAGACAAACTCATGGAGGAGAAGGTTATTAAGAGCTTCTAGCCCTGTAGCAAAGGCAGCCTACCTATGTAAGCCAGTTGCTGCAGAACCTCGACAGGAGAAGACCACTGCACTTGTGTCTTGCCTGTGGACTTTGTGTGGGCAGCTGGTTGGCCACTTGCATCCAGAGTGCTGGACTAGATGGAACCTGGGTCTGAGCCATCATGGTTCTCATGCCATCTTCTAAGACTGCAATCCTATACTTACTTGCCTCAGAGTAAGTCCCACTGAACTTGCTTCCCAGCAGATGTGCATGGGATAGCACTGTTAAAGACTCAGTGAAGAACCTATGTAGAATAACCTGAGCTCTTGCTCTTTCCTAAAAGAAAGCCAGAGCATTGTGGTGAATAAGAGTCTTAAGACCTGAACCACAAATATAGGATCCATATCCCTTCACAGAACAGTGCTTAACTGGGCAGCCTTGGGCAGGGCCCCATCTTTCAGCTAAGTTTATCTCATAAGGATGCCGTGAAGGTAAAACAGAACAGTTGTTCTGTACTCCACCCTGAACTCCTTAGAAGAATGATAGATCTTCATAGGTAAAAGTTTTCCCCACTTCATAAAATGGGTACAAAACTGTGAAAGACAAAAATGAAAAACAAAACCCACAAAAGATGCACTGTGGTTTTCTGGCACTGATGGCAAATATTGACATAATGTCCTTACTACATGAGTTCCTTTTGATGGAGAAGATTCTTGTAAACAGCCGTTTCTTCATGCTTTGGGCAAATAAAAGAATCCCGTTTTCTCCTCAGAAAATTCAAAAGGTCACCATAGCAGCAGTATTCTGTGATGACCAGGATAGGACCTGCAGATGCAGAGGAAGTGCAAAGCAGTGGGTGACTATGAATTCTGGCTCACGCATAAAAAAAATGATTATTTGGCTACAAGTGCAAAAATGGGCCATTTCAAATCACACTACAGAGTAGCGTTTCAGCTTGAAAAGCCAGGGTGAAATTACATCAGCAGTGTTTCTTTTCAGAAGCTGGGCCTCATTTTTAATTAAAACGATGTCATTCCCAATTAATTATTTCCACACATCAATAGTACTGCAGTGTTAAAACACACACGCAAATACAAACGCAAATGAAGAAAGTCTCACGATAATGGTGCAAACCAGACACATCTGTTTCATTTTGGAGCCCTTCCTGAAGGAAGTTATCTGTTCCAAATGTAAGCTTCTAACATTAATCCCTTTGATTCACTCCTGTTTACAGCAGGACTTCTTGCTTTAACAGTAATGTTTTAAAAATGATATAAAATATTATAGTCTTCAGTATAATAGAAAAAACCCCATTCAAATAAAACAGCCTAGTAAAACAGAAAGCATAAAGCTTCAGACATTTTAAAGTATTAAAACTGAAGTGCGGAGGCAGAAACAAGTTGCTGATGGTACAAAGGTTTTAATATCAAAGACGTGTTTTCTGAAAGCCTGGCTGCTTCTGCTCCTTTGAATATCAAATAATGCTGTCTAGGATTTCAATTATTGGATTTTGTACTAAGGTTACTTAATCTGGGTCCCCCCCCCCACCATACACACACATCCTGTTCAGTAACTAGTTTTTATGATAGCAGAATATATATGTGTTTGGGTCAGGGAGGGGGTTTGACCTGCTGGGGCATTATTGGGCCTCTTTTTTGCATGATATTCACCAATAGGGTGGGTTCCTTCCTGAACTGTTTGGGTACTTTCGTAAACCAAGGACACCTTCCTCTTGTATTTGGAAGGTTCCATTTTGGCTACATAATAATTCACAGCCGTATCATTGGTTTACGATTAGTGTAAGACTGATCAGGTTCAAAGTGAGAAGATTATTTGCTTGGGGTCCAGAAATCTTCCCCATTCCTTGGGCTTCCCTTGTGGGAAATAACTCCTGCCCTTTTCGTGAACACCTGAAACCAGATGCATGGACAGACCCTTGTTACCAGACACTCCTGTAAGCAAACATCATTGGCTTTCCTCTGAAGATATCTGAGCTGAGGAATTTTTTTGAAATCATACCTCCGACAGTGCAGGCCCCAAGGAGATTCACAATGTTTATGTGGTTGCCCAGGTAACTTAGCACTTTCAGTTCTGACATCAAGGCTTCCTTCTCAGTGAAATGGGCACTGGCTGGAGGGAGACAAATGAGGCTCAGCAAATGAAGGATGGGGTAGAAAGATTGTAAAAGAGCACACAACATGGTATCGTTAGATTCTTTTCTCCTATATATACATAGCCTTTAATGTGCGTGCAGATTCTCCAAGGAGGCCTTGTTCAAACTAGACAGGCCACTTCTTACTTCCAAGAATAGTTCCTTATTTAGAAAGGTTATTTAGAAGTGAGGAGCACCACAACTGCAAAAAGGCAACTTCTCCAACCTGACCACACAGATGTGCTGGACTGCACCTTTGATGCGACATATCTGGAGGGCATCAAGCTGGAGGAGGCTGTGTTAGGGTATACTCTAACAAGGAGGTACTGTTGATGTTCTGGTGCATATAATATGTTGTTTTATTATAGTCCTGCAAAGTGATCCTTAAGTTGGTGCCACTTAGGTGGCAAAGCTAGGTCAAACTGTCTTCCAAAATGAGTCTGATAGCTCTGCGGGTGGGGGGAGCCCTTCCTGGTGGCTGTAACTTGGTTGTGTGATTTGCTTTGCAAATAGCATTCTGCATGGCATTCTAGGCTCACTTACTGCTGAAAGCTAGTTAAGACCTGGCTCTCCAGGCAGGTATTTCTGTTCACACTAAGCTTCACAGAATGAGTTTTCAGTAATTTGAGTATTAGATGGCCGAGACAATAGTTTGCCCTTTATTGTATTTATTACTGTTTCATATTTGGGGGCATAGGACACTTTGGGAGCTCTCCGAAGTGGCAAGGCAAGCATTTAAAAATAAAATGTGAAAAAAGAAAGATGAAATGAAATGAAGGTTCATGAACTTACGTTTCAGCATTTTTACGGCTACCCTCATTGTCCCGTCAGGTTTGAACAAACCATAGGCAGTTGCTTCAACAACTTTCCCAAAAGCTCCTGCTCCTAGAATTTTACCTAAAGGAAATTCAGAAAGTGCAGAAATCAAGCACAATTAAGAATTCAGCAGATTTTTAATGCAGTTTACTACCTAAAATAGAACATTTTCTGACCCAATTTTACAATTTTTGATCTAAAGAAGGGATTGGCTAAAAGAAGTTTCACAGAGAGGGTCCCAGTCACCTGGAAGGACCGTCCCTCAATTATTCACTGAATAAAGGAAGAGGGTAGCAAAGCTGTGACAAGTGATGAGAAGCAAAACCTTCAGCACCACCTCATCATTATTATTTGGGGACAAAGGAGGCATTTCCATTTTTTTGTCTGCTTTTTTCCCTTTCATGTGGCTTCTTATGGGAGAATTTTTGCCTGTTCATCTCCCCTTTTCCACTGACAGGCAAACATGTTTTTATTCAGGCAGGACGTCAGCATATAAACTGGCCTGATGCTGAAGGATTTTTCCATTGGTTGGTGAGGCTTATTTATGGTGTGCATGGCTGTGCACGCATGCTTTTAATTATATTTTTATTATGTTTGTTATGTCTTCACTTTATTTGTGCTTGGGTTACGTTTTCATTCAGATTTTGCTTTTAATCTAGGTTTTGTTGTCAGTTGTCCTGAGCAAGTTTTTGGTGGCAAGGTGCAATGTAAAATATAAAGTTGTCTTGATCACTTGACAGCTGTCATATTTAATAAACAGATGTTATAGATATTTATAAGGCATGGTGATGACTCCTTTGTGGGTAGGGGGCTGAACTAGAATAACAAATAAAGTGAAAAGGGTTAGGATTTGAAAAAATAAAATAAAACATGGCTCCATTTGTAGGGTATCTGAAAGACATTTTTCCCAGGAAAGTTTTCCACCCGTTCCCTTTGACTGACAAGCTGCTGGAATGAATATACTGGAATGTGGATCATTCCCTTCTCAAAGCACTTGCAGCAATATTAGTATTTTTTACATTTTTCAGTGGGCAGAACAATTTTGCTGGCCCAAAGTTCTACAGATCTTGTGACTTCTAAATACCAAGAAAATCAAACTAACCAAAACTTAGCTGGTTTCTTGGAAACTCCCATTTGTCATCATAGGGAAGCTGTGTTGGATCTATGTAAACATAGTTGTTTCCATTTATTTCATCAACCACTTTCCACTGAACCTCATACTTGGGTTTCTGGAAGAGAGATACGATGACTTTGAGTGCTCAAACTTTGAATGAGAGGGAAGAAATAGCTACAGGGAGTTTTAGTTAAATACATGATTCTTACCTGGAGATATTTGTACACAAGAACTATAACAGTAATACACATCAGTCCTGCTGCTACTCCAAAGCCAATTAACAAAGGTGTGAAAAGGGTGTGGGTGCTGATTTGTTCTAGAAAGAGACACATCAAAAAGAGCTTAGTTTTAAATTTTGTACAACCTAATAACAACCTTGCTTCCTTTTCATTTGGTTCGAACGTCAAACTAAGAGTGGAACACAGTTTAGGGCAAATACCTCATCAAATGTTGACAGGTTAAAATTCTTATTTTGCAAAAGTGAACCAGGTATTAATATACAAACTAGCAAATGGACAATACTATACTGCTTATAAATGGATTTGATGTACCTTTATTGAAAGCTGCTTTATAGATCACATTGTAGGAAAACACAATAGACATTTTTATAAAGTGTATCGTAGGATATCTAATGTAAAATGCATTATGATGAAGGAGAATTAAGATTTTTAAATTACAGAATACTTAAGGAATGTGGTGTTTGTAGCATATAGCAAACTGGATTTCTCCTGTTCTCAAGAGCTTACAGTAGAAATACAGGATGCCGTTTCAATGATGACTCTGGCGGATACCTTTAATGGCAAAGTTGAAAAAAGCTGAGCGCTTGTCGACTGCATTGGACGCCTCACAAGTGATTGTGCCATTGTTCTTGAACATGCTGGCATCAATGGTGCTTTCAACAACTATCTTTCCAAAGGAAGGAAAGGGCTGATCTTGATATTTGGTCTTCACATCCACTGCAGAAATATTTGATGAATCTGAACACCTGGAAGAAAGGATTCACTTGGATGAAATGATGTGGTGGACAAATGAGTAGCTATAACATGAGTTTAAGTCTTCTGTGCTTATCTCTCTCTCTAACACATTGGCCTCATTCACATACAACAGTTAGCCATAATTCTAGTGAATCCTGGCTTATTGTTCCTGAGTGGCTAAAGTAACTAGGATAAGGCTCCTGGCTTGTTGGTTCCATTGTACTCAGACATTTTAAGCCAGTTTCAAAACTTGGCTTCAGACTATTGTTTCTTAGAAGAGAAACAAAGTTGGTTCAGACATAATGGTCAAATTTTTCTTCTTGGTGAATTCTATGTTACTGAAGCTGTTCCTACTGGTAAAGAAGCAAAGCGTAAGTGATCAGGTAGTGTGCACCTGTACACTTGCTCATGAACAATAAGCTGGGATTTTCCAGAGTTTTAGCTCATAGTTCAATGCATACTAAAATTCTAAAATTGCACGAAGGATTATCATCATTGGTTATTTCTCCTTTGTGCCATTTGATATTTTCAACCAAGATGGCAGTGTCACCAGGAAATCTTTGCTTTAGCAACTTTCATTGACAAAGATCAGACAAAAATTTGTTGAACAGCTTGGATACATTTCAATAGATACTGAACAGGTCAAGATGTTGATGAGTTAGAATCTTAGAATAACAGAACTGATGGTCCTATAAGCCATTTAATCTAATCCATTCTCAGTGTGGGAAATTCTAGAACTAGAGGATGCCCATCCAATCTCTCTGAAGATAGGCAGGAAGGGTCATATCTATATCTATATCTTGCAGATATATCTCTGCAAAGTATTAGGTGAACTGAGGTAAAACTGAACTGACAGTACAATAGGTTTTGTACTGATAGTGCAAGCACAGTATTTAAAATGTAATATTAATGAGCATAATTTACAAAGCAAGTTTGCAACAATTTGACTATTTTAAGAAAACTGCAAACTAGCAGAAGTTAGAGGAGGTATTGCGACAGGTGGAGCAGGGTGCAGAGGGCTCCCAGAAGCAGTGCAAACAGAAATTCAATGTTATTATGCCAGAAGCAGTCTTCATCTCTTGCACTGGTGGGAACACACCAGGGGGTAGGAAGGGGCAACACACAAGGGACAGCTCCAAACCCTAGCATCAGCCTACATCAACAAAAAGTATAGATGGAGGAGAACTGAGAAGATGAGAAACAGAGTTAGATGATTTACCGCACAAAGAGCAACACAGACTGCCATTGTATACCTATTTACCTGGAAGTAAGTCCCATTAAACTCAATGGAGCTTACTTCTAAGTAGACATGTGTAGGATTCCACTGACAGTTATGCAACTTGGAACTGGATGGTTTCCTTTAGGGACTGCTTTACCTGGTGCAGACAAAAGTTTTGCTAACCTAGGAATAGTTTTAGAAGTCTGTATGCACTTTCTCATTACGTATTGCAATTTAAAATCCCTTTAGGACAAAGGATAAATATTGATTTGACAAATTTTGCTCTTGCTCTAGTTGGGGACAAATGCATTATTTCAGAAGAAAACTTAGGAAAAATAGTCTTTGAAACAATTAGGACAGGAAATGCATTGCATGGTAGCAATAATGTCCGGAATGCTGTCAAAATAAACAAGTACTTTATAATCCAGTTTGCAAATCCTCTACCTGCACTGCAAATACATAGAATCTTCTTTGAAACTTGGTAATTGCCTTTGTAGTTAATTCTTTTCCTTTCCTCAAGCTTACAAGACACATTTACCATATAATCTACTGTGTGTAAATGGAAATCTAATTACCCTGTGTCCTGGAAAATTGTGTTATTACATGATAAATCCAAAAGATAATAGCCACACACAGAAGCTATTTTGTAATTGTCATTCTACAGGGTTAAATAATTAGGGCCAAGAGCAGCCCAGTTGCAAGTGGGTGCAAGTTCTCTGAAGTCTGATTTGGCCCTTAATGCCTACTCATAAATTACACCGTCCACTTCTAAAACAAGAAAGCACACCACAAAATGACCTACGGCAAGAAAGGCTACTTGGAGTGTGGGAGCTAGCAAGCTTCATAGGAAGTGGCCTCCTTAGGAATCTTACCACAGGTCTGTCAAGCCCTGTATTTCTGACACAAGATGGAGAGAGGTTCTCCAGGGTTTCTGGCAGGATCCCTTCCTTGCCCTACTGGGAGAAGCCAGGAATCAAATGTGGGACCTTCAGCATGCAAAACAGGTGCTTGACCAATGAACTATATATGGATCCTCCCTTCAGAGCCCCACTGGTCAAACTCACTCCTGTGAGAGATACAGGTAGCTCCCAATCAGTTCTGTTCCTGCGAAAATGGAAATTGGTCTTTAAGTTGAATTTGTATGTAAGTCAGATCACGTATAGTGGAAAAAAATGTTTGAGCAGGGCCTCCTCTTTTGGCAGCAAGGAAATGTTGGAAGGATTTCCCTCTCTGAATGGACCGGGCAGGAAGGCACAATTTGGAGGCCATGCTTTCTCCCCTTTCGCTTCCTCTCTATGGTAATTATGATTTTTCTGCAGTAATTTTTTTAGAATTAACAGACTTTATGGCAGTTGGTTCTTAAGTACAGGTCGTTCCTAACTCAGATGTGCGTAACTTGAGGACGGCCTGTATTGGCTAGTTCCCTAGTTGCTAACCTGGGAAAAAAGATAAATGAGGTCTGTTCAGATGTATTCCTTCCTGCAACACACAGGTTCAGTGAAGGCACAAGAAACAACAGAACCATACTTGCTAGTTCCTGGTGCATGTGCTGACTAAGTCAGGTTAGAGGCTCTGTTTGATTGGAAAGAGCCCTAAAAGCATCCGCTTGTATGCACGTCACTCCTCTCCTTTGAAACTGGGTGTGGCCTGAAGGTGTTATGAGGTTAATGAGCACACACCTATTTTCCTCATATGTTTAGTGAATGCATGTTTTCCCTCACTCCTGCACATTTGCACATATGCACAAACACGCATGCATGCACAGCTCCAATGAAAATGTGATTTCTGTGGCAACAAAACTTGCTGGCTGGCTACCCTGGGTGGGGGGAACGACCCCTCATACCCTAAGCAAACTTCCAAGAACATAAGCCACAAAGAAGGGCTGTAAAGCACAAAAAGGGCTGTAGAGGACCAAAACGTATATTTAAATAGCTGGTGTTTAAAATGTTTTACAACCTAACTTTAATCTACAGTCAAAATAACATGTTGCAATTGATTCATATACCCACCTCTGCACAGATCCTGGGCAAATATACCAGTTTATTGTAGGGGCAGGGTATCCTGCTGCCACACAATGGAGCATTCCATTACTAAGTCTTTCTGAAGTGACAATCTCTGGCTTGGCTGGAAATAAATTGACAAGTGCACAAGTCATTTTTTGGTTCTGCACATTTCTGCACATATCTTATACTTGAACTCAAATACCGCAAGCTTCTTGGAAATTCAGGCCTTAACTAAGGATATCAGAGAAATCTGAAACTGATTCAAATACATTTGGATTTCTGTGAATCTGGCTTTCTGATCTGGCAGCAAACCATTTTTTCCCAAGTCACAAATTCTATAAACTTGCAGATCAAATTTTCACTTTGGGGGAGCATTGTCACTAATTTGTATGAGTGGAAGTGTGAATTAGTGCAAGAAAAATAATATTCTGGTTTAAAAAAAATCAATTCCAGCAATGAGCAGATAATGGAACAAAAGACATCTGATTAGCCACATAAAATCTGTACATATCTAGTTGAAGGTTCTGCCTAAGGCTCCAATTCAGTGTAGACTTACGTACAAGCAAGCCCCACTAAAAATGGTGGACCATATTCTAGCATAAACATAAGCAAAAACCTTTCCCAACTACTGAAAGCATCTCACATATTTTACTCCTTAACAACAGCAAACATCCTATTCCGTGGGCACCTTGCTCAGTAAAATCCTTGATGCTGTTTCTCTCCAAAATGGTGTCTGGAAGGAACAAAGATAGGCTGCAGACAGCAAAGGCAGCTATTTGAACTGTCTTTGACCCACTGATTGCATCTTCCCTGCAGTAAGTTTTTACCCTAGCTAGGCTTCAAAGCATCTGGAATCTTTGTTAGGGAGAAAGTAGTTTGTGAGAGGGAAGTGTTCCTAAGCAGCTTGAGGTATACACCAGCATTTGTTTTTGACTTAATGACTTTAGCTTGGGAGAGCAACAAGCCACACATAGGGGTTTAGAGGCTGTGCCAAACAAACCATGGACAGAGAGTCCCTGGCTTTTTAGCTTTTCCTCCCTGCAGATCAAGCTAAGCAGGTGTAATCGCACAGTGTGCACAAGCACACTTATCTACTTATGGCAATCAAGAACTTTATTTTAAATTCTGGCTTATCATGATATGCAAACCAGGCCAGTGAGTCAATTTCCAATGGTGAGCTCTGAACCTGGGAATCTTACTAACCACTGGGTTATGCTGGCTTGTTTCCAGTCTGAAGATAGAAGGTATTTGTGGCCAGGCTATGCAAAGGGCTACTACCTTCACTTGCCTTAACTTTTAGCAAGAGTGGATACAACTTAAAATAGATTTGAAGGCAATCCTTCAATCCTCTTTTAAAAATATGCTTTCCATTAAATCAAATTAAGATTAATGGCTTGTTGTGCCTTTAAATAGCTGCAATACACATCTCCCTGGATAAAGACTTGTGGTATTTTGCTTCCTTTTCAAAGGCAGTACACTTTCTTTTATTACACTGAAGAAATCACAGCACCGCTGCGTTTAAAAGATTATTATCTGAGCCCAAGGGAAGGGAGCAGCAATCAATAGAGTTTACAGACATTCATGCTAGCTGTCTTTGAAAGGCATTCAGAAGAACAGGTACTCCAAGACCTTTGACAATCTTTTCTATAACATCCTGTAAGGATTTATTTAATGGAGAAGTTGGACAGCTTGAGCAGGAACGGAGGCCAACATGCTGTGGAAACAGTCATGTATATGTCATGTCAGATCCTCAGACATTGAGGAAAGACTATTAAGAGCAAGTAAGAAGAGATGCACAAATGGCCTCAAAGTACTCAGCTCAAACTTTTTGCGACTGTTCTGTCTGAATGCTCTGGGGGTGCCCTTTGCTATTTCTTCCTCTTCCTTCTCATGGGCTCAAGAAATTGACCCTGGAAGCAGTCTAGCCAGAAGTGGCAGTAGGTGCTCCCTGGGCCTCTCTAGGGCGTCCAGCTTTCAATCACCAAAAGAGAGGACGAAAGAGGGTGGGGAATGTCATAAAATCTGGATGTGGTAATTTGCATTTGTAAATGCACGCTTGAAATCATTTTAATGATTTAGATAGAAATGCCATATATTCGACCACAGTTTAGAAAACTGAGCAGGTTCAATGGACCCGTTTAGTCTGTTGTCTAGGTCTAATGCTGACTGGCGACAATCTCACTGTTGCTCATCTTTGAACTAGAATTAGGCAGGGCATCCCTTAGATAAAAGGCAGCTTCAAAAGAGGACACCAAGGCACCCTAAGCCCCAGAGTTGTTCATCTGCCAGGGATGAAACTGAGCAGTCTGAGAATCCCCAGTGGAAAATGTGATTTCTACCATTTGCACCACTGAGGAGGTCCTCTGAGGATGTGCCAGTCCTATTTTCACTGAGCAGCAACACTCTCAAGGGCAGTGAAGGAGAGAAGTTGAAGCAGCACTTGCCACTGTCCCACAGAGTAACAGCAAGAGCTTTAGCCAAGAAATCTTAAGTTCAGTTCTTAATTCAGCCACTACAAGTCAATAGACATGGGAATCCTTTCGGCACTTCTTGTTGTTATAATCATGATCAATATTGTTGTTTGTTTGTTTAACTGCTATATTGTCTGATACCCAAAGCTCTCTGGGTGGTTCACAGCAGCATATTTAAAACAATATAAAATATACCATTAAAACATTAAAAAGTCTCTAACAACATTAATAGCTGTTTAAAAACTGATCAACTTATTTTAAATATCATTTAGCAGAGCAGCAGGCTAACTCTTTTCTGGGCAGGGACTCCAGAGCAGTCAAAGGATCTATGCTTCCTGAGATTATGGAAAGGGGACAGGAGAGTCTGTGTGTATTCTCTTTTCATCTGCCACTCACAAATGGATTCTATTACAGGAACCGAAAATGTTCTTTTCTTTTTCTTTTTATTTGCATATATGTAGTGCTCCTGTCAAAATACCAAACCAACCAACCAAATCCATTTTGCAAAATTGCCAGGGTTGATTTGCAACATGACTCAACGGCAAATTGAACGATCATGCATATCCTGGTTGAAGGGAGCGTTAGGAAAAACAGCTTCAGGCAAGTTAAAAAGTCTCATATTTATTTAACTCCCAAACAAGCACAGTCAGGAACTAGTCTTCCTGCATCCACCCAACCGACTCTTACAGCCTGGTTTTATGGTACTGTGGAAACAGATGCTTGTACTGGCCACATTCACACAAAATAATAAGCCAGCATTCTGAACTATCATGAATAAATTGTGTATACATGCAGCCTTCTTTCCATGCAGCTTACCCACCTCCCCTGCCCCATTTTTTTCCTACCAGTTTGATTGCAAGGTGCTAAACAAACCAGGAAAGAATTTTCAGCATGCTGTCCAAACCAGCGTTCCTGGATTATTGCTCCACAAGTCTGTAACTGTTAAACCAAGAACAAATCCTGCTTTGCAATTCTGCCTTGTGAAGAAAGCAACAAGTCCTAATTTCTAGTTCAGTTGAGGAAAACTTCCCTGAGAAAGGATGGCCAGCTGGTAGACATTCAGCAATACATTCAGTCAACAAAGCAATATTGCCTGGCCTTTCATGGCCTTAGAAAATCTTAATCAAGGTTCGGTCAAAAAGCTGCCCATGGTTTCACTAACAAAAAAATTGTACTCCAAGTTATCCATCCCACATTTTATCACAGCTCTTTGGTTTTTATGTAGAACACCCTTAGCTGTGAAACAGCACACAGTGCTTCCCACATTTATGAATTTTCAAAGTAGTCTTTATTTATTTATACTATTTACAGACCACTAAACTTTTTAAATATCCCTAAGCTCCTTTGATATGAATATGAAAATCATAATAAGAATTACATTGAAAATACAAGTTTAAGAACACTACAATCCAACATATCATGATTACAACAACAACAACACAAAGAAATGCAGGGGCAGTAATGTAAAACTCCACGATTAATTTTCTTAAAAGTCGAGGCAGGTGCATCTCCATGAGGTATCTGAAAAATATCACATTTTCTGCATCCCAAATGGCACGAAGGAGTTTTTTTTCCCACTGGGCTGGTGCCAACACCAAGAAGCCCTGCCATCTCAGTATTATATGGTGACATTTCAATAGTGGCCAGCAAGGCCTTCTCCTATTATCTTAATAGTGAGTTGGGTTAATGTCAGCGAAGGCAGCCTGGCCCTAAGTTGTTTAAGGCTTTGTACGACAGTAACAGAACCTTGAACACGGCTTGGGAGCTAACAGGCAGCCAGTGCAAGGTTTGTTTTCGTTTTTCCTTTTCTTAACATGGGTCTTATGCGGGCATAGCTGGGTGTCCCAACGAGCACCCTACCTGCTGCATTCCACACCAGCTGCAGCTTCTGAACCAGGCCCAAGAGCAGCCCTGAAAGCAACACATTATAATAGTTCAACCGTGAGTGTGCCAGTGCATGGATCACCATGGCTAGGCTACAGAATGGGTGTAGTTGGTGTTCCAACTGAAGCTGACAGTGGGCACTCTGGGCCACTGAGGCTACAGGATCTCCAGTGACAAATATGGATCTGGAATCAACCCCAGACTATGCACCTGCAGTGCAACCCTGTCCAGAACATGCAAACAGCCCAGTTGCCAGACCCAGGAACTCCTAGCACATATGATCTCTGTCTTATCAGGATTCAGTTTATTAGCCCACATCCAAGCCTCCAGGCCACGGTTCAAAATCTGCACAGCCTCTGCCAATTCAGATCTCATAGAGAAATTGAGCTGGGTGTCATTCATTTATTGGTAACACCTTGTCCCAAACCTGATACCACTCCCACTGAGGAAAAGGTGGTGCCCTATGACAACCCACTGTTCAGTTGCCACAGGGCTGAGCTGCAGACATCCAATATCATTCTCTGGAACCAACCAAGTATGAGTTGATCCACTGTAAAGCAGTCCCACCAACCCTCAACAGGAATCTACAAGGATACTGTGGTTAGTGCTATCAAAAGCCACTGAGATCCAAAAATAGTGATAGAATTGCACTTTCCCTATCCCTCTTCATCTCCCAAAAGGAGGTCATACATCCTTGGAAGCAAGGCTGATTCCATCCCCAAACTGAGCCTGAATACAGACTGGAATCGGATTCAGATAATCAGCTTCGTTCAAGAGTGCTTGCATCTGAGACACCATCACTCTCCTGAGCACCTTAGCCAGGAATGAGTATTTGTGACTAGATGATAGTTGGCATAAACTTCTGGATCCACAGATGGGTTTTTTTTTTTTTTTTTGGAGTGGTTCCCAATTGCCTCCTTCAGGAAAGGAGGAATCATACCAGCACACAGCAATATATTGACCACTCCCTTGATCCAGGCTAGTTTAAATAAGCCATGAAGGGCAGGAGTTGAGAAAACATGTGGTGGGTTATACAGATGTAAGCACTTGGAATGCGCCACTGGATGGCTACTCAAGTATGCAATGAAGGGAACAAAGTAAATAATTTTGCATGCTCACTGCCATGCACTAGGCAGAGTTATATGCTCTTATGTGTGCTCAGTTATCCTCATGATGACTCTTACACCATTTAGGGTCCTATTTAGGGATGTGTGAGGAATCCAGTTTGAGGGTGGGAATCCATCAGATGTCCTCAACTCAGTTCCCAGGACTGCAGCCTACTTTTTTCTGCCTTAAGTCGACCTTGCACCAAGTATTGACAAGTTCAGCAGAAAGTGAGGCACAGCAAATCCTTTAGGACAGCTTGCACACATCCTGCCCATGCATCTGCTGTGCAAGCCAAGTTCTGCTTCTGCACACACGACTTGCAGGCTTTATGTGCTTTGCATAAACAATTGTGTACTTTGCACAAAGAAGCCACCAGCATTCCTGAGTGTTTGTAGACTTGAACTTGGCTCACTTCCTGGCCAGAAATGGTTCAAAGAGGCACAATTCTGCACTGATTGGATGAGATGCATGTCCTTGTCTGCAGCACTAGCCTGACTAACTTCCTAGTTAATTAGTGTCCCCTCTGCAGCAGTTGTCCAGGTAAGCAGTACACAATAGGCAAAACCCCAATCCCTCCAGGTAAGCAGTACGCAATAGGCAAAACCCTAATCCCTTGGTGCCAAAAATCCCTACATTATCAGATATTCCTACAGTGCAACCCATGGTGGGCAGGTGCTCAGCACAGACCAAACAGGGCCAGCATAATATGAAACTAACCAAAGGTCAATTTCCACCTACTCCCCACAGGCAAAGAACAGGTACAACGCGCCGTGAGAGCAGGGGCAGGCTTAAAGTCCCTCTACTGATCAGGGCCCCAGCACTTGCTATACATGAAAGAAAAATTCTGCACTCAAGGGCACATCATATGACTAACACGATGTGTCATTTGGACATTACATGCTTGCCTGCCTAATTGAGCAGCATGACAGTGCACAGGGTTGGGCCTTGGGCAACAACTACTTTGTTGGCAGATGATGGCAATTATACATACTGCCACCATATTTATTTGCTTCTGCTAATTAGGAGGAAAAAGAAACTAGCAATAAAACCAATGCAAATTGACTCAATGGCTCTGAAGTGATGACTATTGAGATGCAATAGTAGGAAAGTAAATTCTATAAGCTATCTTTAACTGTTCTTGGAATCTGTCTTGATAGTAACTTGGTAGCACTTAATAAACTAATGAAATTAGAGATTTAAAGCAACTTAATGGCTAAATATTGACAAGAGGATGGAACTATGCAAAACAGCTTAATGAAACATTCAATAATTAATTTGTTCTAGCTGAAGCAGTGGGCAATATATAGCCATTAGCACCTTTTTTCCTTATATTGCGGGTAATTAAAAACAGTGGAGTGCATCAAGCCAATCCCTGTAAAACAGTTCTCCAAGGCAAACACTGCCCACACTTGCTAGCACTGGGACATGTTGAGATCCATTTTTAACCATGCCCTTAGACTACAAATAAAGGTGTCACTCGGATAGAAGACATGTCACTGCCTTAGCCCAGGCTGCCCCAAACTGGTGTTTTCTATATGCTCCGACTTGAACGTCCATCAGCTCTACCTGGCGTGGTCAATGATCAAGAACACTGGGAGATGTAATCCAAAGTATCTGAAAGGAACTAGGTTGTGAAACACTGCCCCAACACTACATGGATCCCACCTTCTGACCTGGCCTGCAGAGTCCTGAATGGCCAGGGGCGGGAAAGTAGGGCCAGTTCATGGCTACCCACCAATCCTACTTAGGATTACTCTGGAAGTCACTTATTCTGTTAGTTAGATAGGTTAGATGATTGTGTACAACATGATAACTTGACTAGTTCTAATGGGAGTTTGTGATAAGTTTAGGGAAAAGGGACACATTCTGAATATTGAAGACTCTGTTACGTATAGTTTTAGATTTATGGTAGTGCACACAGGAAGTCATAATATGTTCAAATCTGTCAAATTTGAACTTTTTGATTTATAGACAGTGTAGATAAGCCTGACATCAGAGTCTGCAAACAGAAACCACAACCTCAGAAACAGGGCATACCAGGATGGCCAAACCAGGCATCAAAAGCTGCATGCAGCTCTTTATTTTGCAGCTTGCTGCTTGCCACCCAGGGTGCCCACAGGAGCCTGCTTGCTGCCACCACCCCATGGGTGCCCACTGGTGGCTCTTAAACACCTGACATTTACCATAGGAGGCTCTTCTGTTGAGTGAGTCTGGCCACCCCTGTATATAACCTTTCTGGTTTCTGCATGGTACTCTTGAAACCATTATTTTGAAGGAACAACATGACAAACTAGAGCGTGTTTAATGCTGGAAAAAGAGGAAAGAACTGGCAACTGTAGTTTTGAGAACCTAGTTAATGCTAGCATGTAACACTAAACCATGGTTAACGCCAAGAAAGAAAGGGGAATTATGTATCATTTTGAGATAACACGGTTAGCATGTAAAATGCACCATGGTTCATGCCAAGAATGGAAGGAATGTGGGGTAATACTTGGGAGAGGGGAGAAGGGAAATGGGGTGCATACCTGGGACTAGCTTCCATTTTCCAGCCATGTTTTACAGGAAGCTCCCTCTCAACCAGGAATACTGCCAGGGATCCTGCTGCTTCAGGCAGGAGGATTTGTTGCCACTTCTTCCCTGCCTTGTCGTTTCTCTTTTTTTCCTGCTGTTGCATTAATAGTGGCAGTAGGGGAAATCTTACTCATTAATCGCCTTGTTCTGAGGAAGGGGTCTTACCTCAAAATGAAGGTAGCGGGGGCTCTGAAAACTACCAGAGCTGCCACAGCAGCAGCAAGTTACTAAGGAAACATTTAGGTGGTGGGCAGCTGTGTGGATGTACAGCAAGTGAGGGGGAAGTGTGGCTGCTGCAGAGGCAAGGGACCACTTCTCCAAAGGTAAGGACTGACCCTGCCTCATGAAGCAAGACAGCCCTGACTTTGGGTCTCTTTGTACAAGCACCACACTCACTGTGGCCCATTTAAATCACACTGGGTTGCAGCCTATGCTGGCAGCCATTTTGACTATTCAACCCTGATGGGAAGTGGCCATGTTTTGTCACATTGTCCAAACCCACGTGACAGGGGTTTTCTTATGGTTAAGCAACCTTCAAATAACTCTACAACAGTTTATAAGTTACTTGAGGGTCATTTAACCATCATTTAACTTTGCCATCCAGGTTTGTACAATAAGATACAGCAAACCATGGCAAAGTTAAATGAGCCAAGGTGGGTTGTGAACCTGGTCTGTGACATCTTGCACAGACATTGTTTTTAATATATGCAAGGATCTGTAACAAAGAGAAACTGTAGACTGTTCTTTTCTACTTACTGTTCACATAGACATTAAATGATATAGAGGAGCTGGCATCTGAGTTGGACACAAAAAATGTGTAAATGCCTCCTTCTGTTCCTTTCAGTCGAGTAAGGTGAAGCTCACTGGCATATCTACAGGAGGAAGAAGCATTGCTTTATCACTCATATCACTCAAAGGACAAACAGATTGGCCAGAGGCTCTCATCAGTGAAAGTCTGCAGGCTGTTTACAAATGGATCCTTAAATGTTGCTGCACTGAAGAGTGTTTTTCAGGTCCCCTTGGTCCTTTTGGACAGACACATTTTGCAAAGCTGCAGCTATAACACAGAAGGCTGCCTGAAGGTTCCAAAATTAAAACAGTGTTCCTTCGACAGGCTACAGAGAATAAACCTCAGTATCAGTCCGCTTAATGTAATGAGAAAGTACTGGGCTTGTCTGTGTGAAATTCAAGCCAAGCTCAGTATAGAGTTACTAGGACACCTTCAAGAGGTTGTTGTCTCTCAGTCTAACTTATCTCACAGGTGTTGACAGGCCAGAGTAACATTATGGCTACAATTCTACGCTCACTCAAGAATGAGCTGTAGTGAACCTAGTAGCAAAAAGCACTGGATTGTAAGTGCTGCTCAGATGCTGGACGAGACAGAAATGAATCCATGAACACCTACCTGCTACTAAGCAAAACTAAGCACTGCTACACTAGATCAATCTGGTATTAGCCACTATTTGCTTTGAAAAAGCTTCCAACTTTGTCTTTTAATATTATCATATTTTTCTGAAAGTAAATTTAGACTGACAACCACTGGTTTTGCTAAGAGAAATCATGAGGCTTCCTGATTTCTGCCCCAGTTGTGGCTTGTCTTATGATTACTGAGGCTTGGCAGAATGTGTCCCTAAGCCAAACATTTCCTTTTCCCTGGAGAAAAGAGGCCTGAAATCTTCAGACAAAAGTATCTGAGCTTATAGTCCAGGCCTAGTGCCAGGGACTGGCACCAATGAGCAGTTTGTGATGGTCAAAGCCCTAAGGCTACCCAGACCCAGTGGTCTTCTCAGTGGTGAAAAAATATAAACCAGCAGCACCCAGCAATGCAGCCCAAGCACCTGGGGTTTGGTGACCAGCATCTGAATTCTTTCATAATGCTTCTGGGCACCTGACACAGCACTGCTCCAGATCTATGCTTTGTTACAGGGCCTATGGGCCCATACAGGGTGGGTGCTTGTGTTGAAGGAAGGAGGGGAAATGGCCCGCCATGCCAAGGGAGGAAAACATGAGTCCAAGAGCAGGTGGTGCCAGGGACCCTGCCAAAGTTAGCAGTGACCTGGACTTCAGTTATTTGGTTAGGCAATTATGTAGCACTAGAGAATTAGCAAACCACAGACATATCTCTGCCCTCTCAGCTACTGTATGCCATACATAAAAGGCTACTGGGGAATTTTCACGATTCTACTGAGCTTCTCCTCTATCCAAAAAAGATGTCACAGGAGTGATATGTTTGGTTGCATTGTATTAGTTTACCTGTTTTTTTCTAGATTTGTGACTCTCACATAATGATCAGATGTATTTTGCAAGGTTTCATTCATATACATCCACACTTCTTCTTCAGGTCTGGGATATGCTTCATATGCCACGATTAAATCCAGATTTTCTCCATCATTGACATTTACTGTGGTGTTAGTTGAAGCTGATAAATTGATATATCCCTTACCTAGAATTAAAGGCAAAATAGAAAGTGTTTTTTTAACGTTGTCAAGAGCCTTTCTTTAAACACACACATACAATATTAAATCAAGGTCAATGGAATAAGGAACCTTTAGTGAGAAAATATGTTACAAATTGCAACCTGTGGAAAAGCAACCCTTATCTGTTCAATGTAAGACTGAGTGCCAATGACAGTTTACTGAGTGAGGTAAGCTATAACTCTTCATATTGCACAAAGATCTTGCCCTTCTGTATATTAATAACATAGGCGCCAGATCCAGCCACTGATTTCAGTGTGGTATTAAAATCAATGTGGCTTATGGCTGGCTTTATTTAATTTTAATAAAAAAGTAAATTAAGTAAAGTAAAAAAGTAAAAAAAGTAAATTAATTTTACTTCCTGTGCTCATTTCCTATGTTTTGGCTTCTATCAGGACCAAAAACTGACTCAATACAACAAATTCCAACATAAACCAGTAAACAATCAAAATATTAGAACCATGTACTATGATACCTTCCAAATGTTATGGGTAAAATTAGGTATACAACAGCAGCAATTCAGCAAAGGCTTCTGGGGTTTTGTTTTTAACTAACAAGACACCTAAAAACAAATGCATCTGACAAACCTACATAAGGAAGGCTTTCCACAGAATGAGAACCTCCATTTTGAGAGGCCCCATCCTTTCCAGGCACAGGCCAAAATCTGAAGCCTCTGGTACTTGCACTGAGGTCTCACAGGCTGATCTAAGCGCAAGGAAAGATTCATATGGGAGAAGATGATTTCTAGGGTACCTCGATCTCAGGCAATTTTGGACTTTAAAGTGAAGATTCAGGGCCTTGAATTGCAGCCAGCAACTAGCATCCAATCAAGCTCTTAATACAGATGCAATACATTCCCATTATTATTTCTGAGACTGTATCCATCATATTTACAGCACTGAATGAATTTGACCCATTATACTATCCACATAATCAAGAAATGCTGCAATGTAACAGCCAGATTTTATTCATTTTCCTATGTGCAATAATACTGCCTGAGATGCAGAGCTACCAGGAGAAAAAAGAACCTTTTGCCAGTTACGGATAAAGACATGTTCAGAATACTCCTGCTAATTACAGTACATGAATATGCTCCTAATCAGTTTAGCACTTATGGTAATTTTAATATTTAAAAAGTACTACATGTCGCAGGAATTTAGCACTCTGGGGAGGCTTTTCAGGAAAGCATGTTAATAAACACCACAATGTAAGCACCTTTGATGGCTCTTGACAGAACTGATCCAGAGTACGTGTGAGAGACAATGGATTGGGCTTTTCAGAGAGCTCGGAAATCAACCTCTTTCACAGTAAAATGCACTCTTTGGGCATAGTCCAGCCTAATTTAGGGACAGCTTTTGTACAAAGCCTTTGGCCAGCCTTCTCTAGGCTGGTGCAAAGCAGATATTTGGACTTCATCCCATCAACCACAGACAGCATGGTCAATAATGCCAGATGCTATAGCCCATACTATGTGGAATCCTATTTATTATATTTATATCCCACCTTTTTCCTTGTATGGGACTCAAGGAAACTTACACCATTCTCCTCTTCCCTGCAATCGTATCCTCACAACAATCCTGTGAGGTAGGTTGTTCAGATGAGAGTCTGTGACTGGCCAAAAGCTAGCCAGTGAGCTCCATGGCTGAGTGGGGACTGGAACCCAGATTTCCTGAGTCCCAATCCTGCATTCTCAATCACTATACTACACTAGCTCTTCCAGCTTGGGTAAGGTTGCTTTAAATACGTTTTAATTGGGCTGTGGTCACAAATACCATATCATTTTTCTTTGGTGTAATGTCTTTGGTATGCTTGCTTTGATCACATCTTACCTCTTGCTTTTAAGTTTTTATGAACTATTTTTATTTTAAACATGGTTTGTGTGTCACCAAACTTTTTTTTACTTGTTTTGTTTTCAGCAGTCCCCCCCCCCACCACACAATTTATTTCAGTAAGGATTTTGGCTGGAGAATGTCCTTCAACCCAATAAATATGCAAGTAATAAACATTTAGTTCACAGATAACAGTAATTTTCAAACATAACATTGTTGCTTTATAAAATATACTTAGCATTCCAATTGCTGGAACAGTAAATAAACCTCATAGTAGTTCTGTGTATATACTAACCATCCTAATAGGTTTATGTATACTCTGTATTGACATTCTGTACTGATACGCAGGGGACTTTACATTAAAATGGAATATACTTAACAATTTAGTAACTTACACAGTGAAATAAAACAGGGCACATCATTTGGAATTAAAATAGCTGCTCCATGGCTTGCTGCGAGTTAAAGACATGGCTAGGAACATTGCCCAATGGCTCTGACAATGGGCTGTATCCACCTGGGTTATTCTGCAAGCACAACTAATACCAGCGGAACACGATCAAATCTTTCTGTTGCACCAGGATTGCCCATTACATTTAAGCAACCAACTGTGTAATCAGTTGCACAAGTGGAATGTGCAAGCGCCTGCTTAACAGGCCGCACAAGAGTTAGGTGCAACCAGTTGCACAACAGGTTTCATAGGAACAATGGCAACCTGCCTACACAACTGTGCTTACACAGACATGGCTTTAATTGGATTCTCGATAGTTTGGAACCCAGTGTCTGCTGGCACTGCATTATTTGCAGTAACAGAATGACAAAGATGGCTACTGCCCTGAGGAGAGAACAGGCTGTACAATGACTTATAGGATCCCATACCTACACACAACACTCAGGAGGCTCACCTTTATCTCCCCTATGTGTGCACCACCCACAAATGATAATATTGCAAATACAGAATCTGTTTTGTTTTCTTTGTGATATTGATGCAATGTGGCTATTCCAGATCAAATCAGTCATTGTATTCACTTATGTGCTTAATTTATTCAGCTGGTGCCAGCCAGGTGTCCACATAAAGGGCATCCCAGTAGTTTCACGAAATGGGTACAGTCTAAGAGTCATAAGTTCTACATTTACACGAATGGCACTGCAGAAATACTCCTCCTACTGCTGCCACCATCAACTGTAAGTCTAATAGCAATACCAATTAGAGAACCCTTACACATGTCCTTGTCTTTACAGATTAACATATCCACATTGCAAAACTGATACTGGATTTATTTTAGCACAATATTAAACATTATATGTACTTCCAACAATCCCACCCTCTTCAGCACCGAGAACAGGGGGTTTAAGCATATGTATATGTCTTCTGCTCTTCCCATGACATACAAATCTTATACATTTACTCTGCTAGTATTTACCTAGTACTGTCAAGGTTATTGTGTCATTGGATGTTCCAAAAGGGTTGTTTGCTTGGCACGTAAATGCTCCAGAATCATTAACTCCCACTGAACGGATGCTCAATGTTAATTTTGTTTCAAATCCATAATCACCCACATTCCTTCTTTGGGTTGTATGAGTCTGTCGGCAAGGGGGAGGAAAAATTAACATCTAAGATACAGTGTACAAGCATCTTTCCCAGATAAATTAAAAATAGATGTAATTATAACTTCACCATATTAATATTCATAACTTAAAACCAGAATAATAAGCCATCATGGCAAACCTGTCACTGGAACCTCTCCATACAAAACAACCACATTCTCAAAGCCCTCTTTGGGGGAGGAAGAAAAAGTCCTTCCAAGAGCAGTTCTCCCTCCCTCCCTCTTTTCTTCAGATCCTTTCCTACATTCTTGGTATTCCGCCTTCCGTTCTACTAATAATGACAACATTAGGAAGATTTGACTTTATTAAGATAGACGCAGTCTTGGGACATTTCCAATATTACCTCAGCAGCATGGAGGCCATTCCAACTTGTCTATTTGTTGCACTGCTTCACTAGACTGGAAGATGTGAGTCAAGAGGGAGCCTACAACTCAGACCCTTCCCACCACAGAGATGATGCTGTTGCTGCCCAGTTCCCAGAAAGAGAAATGCTGGCTGGGTAAGTAGCTGTGTCACCGTTTGCTCTCACGTCATCTCAGAGGAGAGGCAGTGCAGCAGCTTTAAGTTGACACCGGCAGGGGTTTCAGTTGTAGGTCAAACTAAACCTTTTTGTAAGCATGTATGTGATAGGGTTATTTACTTCAGAGTAAGTGCAGAACTGGGTTGGGACCTTGACATTCCAGGAAGTGTGGGAGTGGAGAGTTAAGCTTTCCCACCTACCTATTTTTGTCCCAAAATGTCACACTCCTGTGAAATATTGGATCAAAAAAAGAAAAACATTACAATCAAGGAAAGGATTTAAAAAAAAATCAGCATCCCCCAATCTCATGAGGTATATGGAATTTCAGGATAAAATGGGTTGGTCAGGTTAAACCTACCTTTTCCAGGGCATGCTTACTGTGGAGTAAATAAATCAAGCATACATAGATCAGCTTTAACTGATGATAAGAACATTAGTTTGGCTCTTAGACTGGTAGAATTCCATGCCAAGACAACAGAGCCAGCAAATGGTTGTACTTCTTTAAAATACAATTTGGACTAGTAGCCCCTGGTGAAGCTTAGCCATGATTAAAATCTGTGCTGGAAAAACTGCTTAATCAACATAATGTTAGATGGTAGGAACGAGAGGGGGGCGGATTCCTATTCTAGGAAGGGAGAAGCTGTGGTGATGGAGAACCCATTGCTGAAACTAGCTCCTGATTTCCTAACCACATTTGGCAGGGAATTAGTATTACCATGCCAGTGTTAAATACATAGCCTAGCAATTTCAAGAGCCATTTTTATCTCTTATTACCCGTTTAGCAGATTGCCACCAAATGCTCTTTTCCAAAATAAAAATATGGATGAAAGTGTTAGCCCTTCCGAAATATTTTGGTAGCTATTTGTCATGCATATGTGGGAAAGCTGTATACACAAACAAAACTAAAAAGAGAATTTATTTTAAAAAAATAAGCTAGAAGAAGGCCATGAGTGAAAACTAGGTTTTGGATAAAAAATTAATAATGCTCTTGGAACTGTCCCAGAACTCCCATCTACAAGTCCCACTTTGAACCATGTGCTGCCTAGGCTTCCTTCATCCTTGGAGTGGGTGAGCTGTGATTTGCTGACAGATAAGCACTTAAGAGGCAGAACCTGTGCCAGCGCCAGCAGATTAGCAGAGAATGGCATGTAAGACCCCAGGGAAAGATTACCCAGGACATATTTTCCCAAGGCTGTAGGATTTATCTTGCCTTACAGTGCCACACAAGTCCTTTTTATATGCACACAGGAGTTGCTGATTATACATCCTAATCACTGCCATTAACAGTCACCAATTAACAGTGGAATCTTTTCAGCATGGTTAGAAACACTCTTCTGGGGAGGTTTCCTAGGCACTTAAATTGCAAGATATGCTGCAGATACATTTGCAGAGTTCAGAACTACTAGTGATACAGAGCCAGTTCAACTATTACCTCTGCAGACTGAGTGGCTGCTACTGAAAATCGTTTCTGCATGGCTGAACCTCCCTGAAGTTGCAGAGCTGGGACCAGATCTCCTTCAGTCAATCTTCTTGCCCTATTTCAGACCCTATGACCCACTGGCTGATCAATTAAAATAAATAATGAGTGAACCCCTCACTCTGTCCTGGTCTCAATCTGGAACTGGCTCAGGAAACCAAATCATTTCCTTTAAACATTGTTTAAAAACAAACACTGGAATGTAAGAAACTCTCTTATATGGAGAAAGGTGATTGTTCCATCTAGCCCAGTGCTGACTGGGAGAGATTGTCCAGTACTTTCAGGCAGGATTCTGCCATAATTCTATAGGCTGAATGTATCTTCTATTTGTGAAACATAAGCTCTACCAATGAGCTACGGCATCTCCCCAAAGCCCGGTTTATTTCTCTTCCAAAGAGTAATTCTTTCTCAGACTTAATGAGCATGACAAGGTTCAAATCTCTCCCATTAGCCCTGATTTCCTACATCTTCTCAGATGTGAGGCAAGCATTATGAGTAACTGAGATGTGTGTTCCAAGCCAAAGAATGACAGACTTTGGCAACTTGCATCCCAGTTGGGTGCTGGGACTATTTAGCAAGCTTTCTGAGAAATCTGAGTTATCCTCAGTATCAGTCCTAGTCTTTCAGGTGGTAGAAGGGTTGCTTCGGGATCTTTCTTTTAGGTATCAGTCTTTCTATTCATACCTTCTTCCTGGAGCCTCTTATTTATACCTGACCTACTTATTTGCATTGCTACTACTTTGAAAGACAAAAATCACATCAGACTTGCCTGTCTGTTGAGTTCTTGCTGCAAAGACAGTGCAGCATTTACATTTACCTGGGGTTCCACCCCCTGGACTACACCTGGTGTGTGGCTAATAGATCCCTGAGATGTGTTAATGCTAATACAGAAGTAGGTAGTACTTTCCCAATGTTTTGGATCATAATTCCATCAGCCCAAGCTATCATGTCCAATGGTCAGAGATTATAGGAATTGGAGTCCAAAACTACTGGAAAGTGCCAGGCTGCTGAAGGTGAAGTCTCACAGTTCTTCGGTAGTTCTGCCATGTGTAGAATACAACCGGTTTGCACAACACGCCAGCTCAACATGGCATGGCTGCCAGCCATGACTGGTTCCTGTGTCACACAAACCCAGTTGATGTGTTAATACCGTGTCTCTTTCAAGACAAAATAAAAGTATGAATGAAAGCAGGAACATGAGCAAGAACAAACATGCTCTGAAGGATGAAGACATAGCGAGGAGAATCAAAGCAGGGAAAATAAGAGTAAGTCAACAAATGCAATACGGATTCAAAAGCTGTAAGGTGGTAAGTGAGCCACCCCGAGGCTTTGTTGCGATGGAGGCAGCATAGAAATGTTTTAAATAAATGAATAAGTGTCTACTTTTTTCATCTGAACTGATTTCTAGCTGAAATGAATCAGAGGAAGCAGAGAGGAAGTCATGTGGGTGGAATCCAGCATCTGCTGTCAATCAGAAGGGAAGAGATGCTTGATGCAAATTCAGGCAGATTGTTGTCAAGGGCTGAAGGCCGAAGCTACTGCTCTGGGTAATGACACTTCTCAGGAACACTGTTTTGCCACAGCTAATGAAGGATACACTCCCATGTCATCCTGGAGTGTGTATTTTTCAGACTGTTCTTTCAGGTACATTAGTAAAGACTGATGGAGTAGATTGAACTCACCGCATTGCCTTGAAAAATCCAATTAGCTTCCAGAGTGCTATCCACATCTGTGATTGTGCATGTAACTTCAAATTTTTCACCTTCTTTGAGAAGCTGATCAGGTTTGGATAAGGAGATGGCTGGAAGGGATTTGTGAACTGGAAAACAATTGAGAGGTTTATTATTTTTCATTACACGTGGGGTGGTGATGGGGAAATCAACGCTTATTAACCTCCCAAGAAAATACCAGACTACCTAGAGATATTTTAAATCTCTGCAATGTATTAGATTTGTTCTGCCACCCAAGTACATTTCTCAGTTAAAAGTAGGATAACATTTACTGGAGCTACAGAACATGCCCAGGTAGCCTATACAATAGTTAATGCTGAAAAGATCAATGACCTATCAGGAAACTCATTCCATGGCCATTTTTATAAGGTTACAACTTGCCACCTACTGATGGAAGCTAAATGTACCATTAACATGAAATAATTATTGAATTATATTACTCTTGTTAATGTGTAATCTTATATACACCAGGAGGATGTCTTCAGTGTAGCCTTTCCTGACACAGTACCCTCTAGATATATTGAATTATAATTCCCCTTATGCCCAGACAGCATGATCCATGGTGATGCTGGATGGGGATGATGGGAAGTGCAATCTAACATCTTCAGAGATCACCAAGTTGGAGAAGGCTGCTTTACAAGATATTCTTATCCAAATGAACTGTATTACCTGGCCTCACGTCAAGATAAATGTTGTCTGATTCTTTCTCAACTCCATTTTGTTGTGCTAGGCACCGGTAGCAACCTAGAAATGATCTTTGTACATTTTTGATGGTAATTCCTTTCTGTGGATCAGGAACTAACAGCATATTCTCAGGCAGAGGTTTGGCCTGACACCTTTTCAAAGTGAAACCTGAAATATCTGGATCTGTCACTGGACATTCAATAAGAACATCGCTGTCTTCTGTCGCAAAAGCGAGAGACTCATGAAAGAACAGGACATTTGGATCTGTAATGGAAGAAATAAAAATAATTTTATAGAAAACTATATATTAGCACATCATCTTTCACCTAAGTATGTAAATAGATCATAGGTAGAACATGGCATCTGAAAAAGAAAAGCCAACCTTTCTTTTGCCTGGTTGATTAAATTGTAATTTACACAATAATCCCCGAGTATGTGTATGTGAGTCATTCACAGAATCATAGATTAGTTGGATTGGAAGTGACCAAGAAGACCATCGAGTGTAACCCCTGCTAGTGCAGAAGACCAGTTATACCATCCCACTCAGATAACTAGTTTCTTCTTGAATGTCTTTAGTATGGAAAAGCACACAACCTCTCTTAGCAGTTGGTACCATTGTCGTATTGCTCTTACAGTGAGGAAATTATTTCTTGTGTCTAGCCTGCACCTGGTGTACTATAGTTTAAGTTCACTGTTCCGTGTCCTACAATCTGGGATGAATGAGAATAGGTCTTTCCTCCTCCTCTGTGAAAGCCTTTGAGGTACCTGGAGCGTGCTATCATGTAACCTCATATCCTTCTTTTTCCAAGGCTGAACAGGCCCAGTTCTTTCAGCCTCTCATCATCTTATTTTCCAGGTCCTGTACTGTCTTTGTTGCCCTCCTTTGAACCCTCTCCAGATTACCAGTCTCCTTTTTAAATCTTGGTACCCAAAACTGAAGGCTGTATTCCAGGTGAGATCTGACTTATGCAGAGTAGAGGAAAATGAGCAGTTCTCTATTTCTGAAAATGGTATCTTTAATCATGTATTCCAAAATAGTTTGCCTTTTTTTGCTGGCTCATATTTAGCTTGTATTCTACAACAACTCCAAGGTCCCTTTCACTCTCAGTAGTGTTGAGCCAAGTATTCTCCATTTTGTATTGATGCATCTGATTTTTAAAATTTAATTAATTTTATTTTTGCCAAGGTGGAGAACTTGGCATTTGTCATTGTTGAATTTCATTCTGTTGTTTTCTGCCCAGCATTCAAGCTTGTTTAGGCCTGGAGGTTCTTCTGTCTTTCAGGGTGTTCACTATTCTACCCTGTTTAGTATTGTCTGAAAATTTATTTATTGTTCCCTGGGTTTCCTCATCTAGATCATTAATAAAGATGTTGAAGAGTACCAGTTCCAGGACTGAGCCCTGTGGTACCCCACTTATTGCCTCTCTCCAGGTTGAGAAGCTCCCAGTGATGATGACTCTGTGACCTATTTTGAAGCCAGTTGTGAATTCACCTAATAGTAGTTCTGTCATGACCACATTTTGCTAATGTATGTATTAGGATGGGGCACGCTGTTGGCTTTGCTAAAGTGCTAAAGTCAAAGTAAATAATGTCCTTGTGTTTCCTCTGTCCATTTGGGTGGTAACCCAGTTGAAGAATGAGACTAGGTTGGTTTGACATGACTTATTCTTAAGAAAACTGTGTTGGATTGTATCACTATATTTTCCTCAAGATTTGATTTTTTAAATGATTTGCTCCAGAAATTTCCCAAGGATTGAAGTTAGGCTGACTTGTCTATAATTCCCTCATGCATCTTTCTTCCCTTGCTTGTAGATGGGGACCACATCAGCTCTCCTCCAGTCATCTGGCGCTTCCCTCGTTCTCCCAAGATTTCTCAAATATTATATATAGTGCCTCAGAGAGCTATTGTGTCAGTTTCTTTAATATTCTAGTATGGAGTGTCTCAGGTCCTAGATATTTGAATGCTTCTGGCTATTCAAGGTGCTACTTGACCATTTGTCTGTTGATCTTAGGCTGCCATCTTTCCCTTTCATTTTGCATTTCCTCTTCTGTAGGCAGGCTGCACATTCTTTTGTGGAAGAAGACTGAGCCAAAGGAGGAGTTGAGCACCTCTGCCTTTTCCTTGGCATGTTATCTTTTTGCTGCCCTCAATGAGCTGCTGTATACCTCTCTTTTGTTTGTCTTTTATTTTGTACATAGCTGTAGAAGGCTTATTTTTAGCATACCTCGCAAGTCTCAGTTTGTAACTCACTTTAGCCTTTCTGACTGCATCACTCTTCACTGTCTGCTTACACTCTTCTTTTGAGAATTCACCTCCTTTCCACTTTCTGTACATGTTCCCCTTAGCTTGAGATGTCTCTTAACTTTTTGTGGAGCCACGAGGAGAGGGCGGTTTGCTAGTTTTCTATTATATTCTTTGTTGGGTTTAGTTGTTCTGATTTAAGATTTTCTTTAAGATTTCCCATTCCTAATGGATGCCCCTCTCCTTTAGGGAGAGCTGCCAGGAGAATTTGCTTATCACTTACTTGAATTGCTTAAAATTGACCCTTCTGAAGTCAAGGATGTGTGATTGGCTGCCACAGACATTTGCCATTCCCTTAATAGAGAATTCAAGAATGGTGTGGTTGCTTTCACCATATACATATTCTTTAGATATAAACTCAACATTTTGCACCAATGCAGGATAAGCAATACCATGTGAGGACAGCCCATAGTTCTCCACATGTTTTACTTATAATTCCATGAAACCTTTCACTGATTTTAGCCTTTTATGGTGACTATGAAAAATTGCCAAGAAGGGAGTTTTGAGGGAGGCATTTGTAAACATCTCCCAAGAAAAATTGGGAAAAGCTGCACCTTGGCAAAAGTAGTGAGTTTTTAACATAACAGTCCCTCATGAATGAATAGCTCAGAATGAAGAATATGTTTGGATGACTTGGTGCTGATGAAAGCAAGAGAGAAGGATGGATGCTTTGTTGTTTTGTGGAGTTTAGGATTGTTGTTGTGAGGATAAAATGGAGCTATGTAAGCTGCCTTGGGTTCCTCACAAGTATTTGTAATAATACTTACTCTCCTGAAAGATTTGAAATAAGAATTAAATAAATGCATGCACCCATCCATCTCTCCACCCAGCAAGTTTGCCTTCTCTTAAAAGGCTCTACCACCAGTGCTACTGCCACACCAAACAGGTCCAGCTCTATCCTGAAGGCACGTCCTTGTCTCAGCCATGATGGTAAAGAACAGATAGACCTAGCACATGCAGGGAGAGGGACTGATGGGTGTTCTGGACAGGAAGGAGAAAAGAGGAAAGGAGAAATGTGAAAAGGGATAAAATGGAAAAAGGTGTGAACAAAGGAAAAAGGAGGGTGAAAACAACAGGTAAGGGAGATGGTAAGGGAGAACAAAAATGGTAGGAACTTAGGAATAGATCACAGGTGGTGATGATGAGAGTTGTAGTCCCAAGCACTGAAGAGGAACAAGTTGAAGGTGACTGCCCTAGATTACCACTCCCTTCGGCCTTGGCCAGCACAACTTATTGTGACAGATGATGGGGAGCTTGAGTCTAAAACAGGTTGGTGAAGACTGATCTAAGGGATAAAGCATTAAAATGAATTTAAGTAATCTAATCAAAGTGATTATATCTGATTAAAGTGACTGAATACTCTTAGCCTTGATGTTTCAATTGATTTGAAGCTACCCGTCCAGCACTGCATCTTACCAGCTTGTGGAATGTCCTGTTTAACACTGAGAACACAAAGATCAATCTTATCCAATATTGCATGTTGAATGAATTATAGTGGGGTGCCCAGTGCACAAAGGAGGATATTCACAAGCGGAGCAGCAAGGCAATATCCACTCTCTGTTGCTTGCTGGTAGCATCCAATACTCAAAGGTATGGTCCTTTGAAAGAGAGGGCAGTGATGACTGATGCATGAACGGTACCATTCAGGGGTTGGATCTGGTTACCTCCTGGTCCCTTGTGATTCCCCATTTCTACAAAGTGTTTGTACAAATGTGGAAGAATTCACAAGATATGTACTTGCCAAGTTTGAATTTTACTGCACTATGAAAATGGTCTGCTTTTTAAATGGGTAATTAAGAACCCTGCACAAAAGAATCGCTCCAATTTTTAATTATCATTTCAATCCTTTCCTGTCTAATTGAAAAACTCTGCTACAGCACACTTTGCTGTGACTGCCACCGAATATTATTTTATAAATTCCCTTCCAAGGGTACCACAAAAATTTTATGACTTGGACAAAGGCACTGAAAGAAATGCATGGCTATACTAGCTAATGGATCCCCATCAGCAGGGCACATTCTTCTGAGCCTCATTAAACTTTTCTCCGCATCTGTGTCATACGCCTCTCCTCATTAGCCTTTCCCAATCTGATGCCCTCCAGATGTTTTATTCAGCTATTCCCAAGATTCCCAACCACTGGCTATGCTGGTTAAGGCTGATTGAAGTTTAAATTCAAAACATCTAAAGGGTGACAAACTGGGGAAGGCTGCTCTACTTCTCTACTCATTTGATATTCTCACAAACGATTAATTTAATGCATTCCATTACATTTATACCCCATCTTTTTTCTTCTCGCAAGGAATCCAAGGCAACTTATTGGATTTTCCTGGTCTCCATTTTATCCTCAGAACAACAACCCTGTTAGGCAGGTTAGGCTGAGAGCCAGTGACTAATTCAGTCACTCATGGCCAAAGAGGAACTAGAACTTGTATTTCCCAGTTCAAGTCTAACTACTCCACACTGACTCTTCACTATGATTCTTTAGGCTAGATGGTCATCTGTGCAGAGTCATCTGTGCAGCGTCCTGCTACAGAACTAGATGCCTTCCAAGGTTCCCTCCAGGCCTAAAATGCTGTGATATGGATGTTACAGCCAGCCTACTCCCATCTGGGGTTTTCCTCTTGCAAGCTAATCAGCAGATCCTAGAATCACAAGTTGCTGATGAAAGCCTTCTTGTATGATTTTACTCTAGTGTGGTAGAAGACCAAATCCCAGGACCAGATAGTTGACTGCTTTGGGGAAATACCACAATTTTATTTCCAAGGCCCATGAAGAATGTCCACTAAATTAGTGGCCTTAACTACTGTATTGAGTTTTTTCTCCAGGAATTGGCTTATAAAACGTTGCTCACTATTTGCAGATGGTGGAGACCTAAGGAAATACTAAAACCGTATTTTTACTTCCTGGAAATCAATGAGCTATTTTTAGGTCACCAGGAGGCCATTACAGATTTTTTTTTACATAGATATGGAAATGCATTAATTATTAGGCTTACCCTTACCAATTCATCCTATTATGTGCCAGCAAACTCTAAGAAGGAAAACTAATACACAGTATTAAAATTCCCATTATAGTTCAGCTTCCTTTCACTTGTTTAAATTTTAGTATGAAATTGTTGCCTGCTCAATAAAAGTCACACTCTAGTTCATTACCATGAATAGCTTTCCCATCTCATTCACAAAAGGGAATTTCTTTGGAAAGTGTCATAAGATCAGACATTTAATCCTGCTCTATAGAACAGAATCTTAATGAAAATTCTTAGGCTTACAGCAAAGTCCAATTCTATTGCTGCAATCCTCAAAACACCTTAAAACCAGCATCCAAAATCCATAGTCCTGAATCCACTCCACCTGGCAGGCAGTTTGCATGAGTGGGATTCTCAGTCTTTGCCAATAGTTTCATAATATATCCATTTGCATGCATAACGCTGTTCCCGCCATAAATGAGAAAGCCTTCTAAAGGAAGAGGTGCTTTATGCCCACACCGGAACTCCCATCACTTCCAGGAATCTCTGGGCCATATCTTCTGAAATAAGTCTTTGTGAGGTAAAGCAGACTGAGTAAAGCCTGAGTCATGCACTACTCATGTGGTGTGGTTGGTGCCTCCTTGTACACCACACTAATAAATGATACAACATACTAAACAAGGTTGATGGAATCAGCCAGGACAGACAGAATATGCAAGATGGTCCAACATTATGCAGGCCCTTGGAGTGAAACAGCATTCATTTAGGATCTTTCTACATTGTCTGTCCAGGGGAACAGCATCCCCCTTGCTCTAGGAACACAGGAAACAGTTCTTATACCTTTTGAGCGTTCTGACAATTAGTCCAGAGAATCAATTTAATTCTTGGTTACTCCAAAATGTGATAATCTTCCCTAGGGATAAAGTGCCAGAAAGCACTGGAATTCAGACAAAACTGTCAATGGATTCAGACGTGCAGGCTCATCACTAGAAGATTTAAATGTGTGAAAGAAGTATTATAGATCTAAGACAATTAAATGTTTGCAATAATCTCACAATGCCAATGTAGCTTCTTTCCATGAGAAATAAAGTCATCTGTGTGCACTAACCAGCACATGTATGCACTAACCAGCTCTTAAGTGTTGGCAGTGACGGGATTATGGATGTTCTGGCAAAGCATGTCAATTCACTTTTGGTGGTGCTTCCAAAAATCTCTTTAGCATCATCATGACCCACAGAACAGCTGCAGACAGCACCAGAGGACTCATTAAAAATCAGACTCCAGTTCCTCAGCTCCCTTAATGTTTGTCTTGAGAGACCTGAGCCTCACATGGGCATCTTTCCAATCTTCTCAGGGAGAGAGGCATCAGCAACAAGAACAATCATGTCTCAAAGGGGAATCTTTGGAGACATGTTGCCCAACATAAATCCCATAGCTAATGTTTTAGAACATAGTTACAGGAGCTCAAGTCTTACTAGTCTTCCAAATTTAGGAATGTGGCGACAGACTGGAGCTACCCAGAGGCAAGTGTGCAACATACACGTACTTCAGTCTAAGTCTTTCCTCCTATATCTCTGTTCAAGCAATGTCATTCAAAACAAGTTTCCGTTCTGCATCATTTCATCGCTACAACCTTGCTTGAGTACTTGCATGTGTGCGCTGGCCATCACCAATCTAACACTACAGTATGAACTCAGATATCATTCAACCTTGTGTCACCTTAACTGCAAATGTTGTCATATGCAAACAGCCACAAAGAAATCAAACAGTTCTCATTTCTAAAATGTCCCCCATCCCCCGGGAAAATTACAGAGCAGGTCTTTCTTCACAGACACTATGGGACTTTTCATCAACAGATAATGAGAAGAAACTGTGCCTGATGATCCTGGAAAAGACGAAAGACAGCAGATGTAACATTATGCTCTGTAGCCACTGGATCGGGGATAAAAAATGAGCAGAGATGCAGAGGACTCTTATCTTGCCCAAAAATGGGATCGCATAATTTCGTTGCAGTAAACCAATTTCACAATGAAGGTCTCTGATCCAAAACCCTCACCATGGCTACACATCAAAGCTACATTTCTCCCCCACCCTTGCCACAATTATGGAGATGAGTGTGCATTGCAGAAATATACATTGAACATACTATGTATTTGGCCCCAAGTTCCAATGCTTCTTGAAGCAACTTCTTGAGTGTGGTGTCACCCATCACAAGCATTTGCTCAAAAAAGCATATATCACGGTGAGCAAATGCCTAAGCATTCATATAGGTATCATATCAACCTTAGAGTAAACAGCAACATGGAATGTAGTTAAGGATTTAGGAGGAATTCAATGGGAGGTCAAAAATGGATTTTCATGATTCACCCCCTCCTCAGATTCTGGATTCATTGTCCAGAACATTGTCCTAGCACATTCATTGTTGGGTGAACTGAGCCAGTTTGCAGACTTCTGTCTTTAAGACAAGACAGAAACCATGCAGTTCTAGCATGATTTGCACAAATTGTGCCAGAATTATGTAGTTTCTGACTTCCAGTTTGCACAAATAACTGATTTTTAAATGTTTAAACCATGGCCCATCTTAAATATAGAAGTCTGCAGAAAAACCTGATTTGGCCCACTTTCGATTATTAGATTGGAAAGTCCAACAAGCTCAAACAAGCTGAACAAATTTCCAGCATCACATCTCTAAGTGCAGATCTCACATCTCTAAGTAAGATTTCAGAGAATGTCCTCTTGAGATAAAAAAAAGGGATAAAATAAAGGCATTGGGTTACCTTTAACAAACACATAAATGGAGCTGTTCAAGTTTTCTCTATTTTTACATGTATATGTTCCTGTGTCTCTGGGTGCTGATTTATTTATGTAAAGCTCCTTGTATTTTACATTCTTTCGCCTTGCCGATGGATCTGCATTCTGAATAATCCAGGTCACGGGGCCATCATCATTGCACCACAGACGTAACTCTTGGCCACTCTGCACAACCAAAGGGGATTTGGCTGGAGTAATAGAAGGACTTGCACCACCTGCCAAAAATAAAATGTAGCAATTAGTGTCTACTCATGACCTTTCTTTCATAGCTTTAACATATATCTATATGCTGAACAACCAGTCTGTGAGTTTAACTTATCATTTTCATTTGTTTTAAAAAGATGACTGAAGTATTACAGTTTTAGAAATGCCTGACAACTGAATCTTGATTGAATGCTTCAATAATTGTATCTATCTCTCCCTTATTTTTGGGCCAAGTGGATAGAAACACAGTCACAAAATGGAGATCCAGAAGTCATATGCCTTGTGTTGGATCCAAATGAACAGGAGACCCACTGAAATCAGTGGGACTAGAGATAGTCATGGCTTCAATGGGTATATTCTAAGTATGAATATACTTAGGTATATTCTATGGGTATATTCTAAGTATCTGCACCCGGTCCCTTATTTATAAGGAAACCAATCTGAGCACAGATTATATGCCTTTATGGACATATTACGGCTGTACAGTCATGATCCTATAGTCTGTTTATCCATAGTTTGTCCTGAAGTGAATATGGAAGGGTTTTCCATAAGATTTTAACATCCCATGATGCACTTTAACTATAGTGGAAGAAACCTACCTTTCCAGCCTCCTTCCCTGACATCTGACTAGCACAGCAAAATTCCTAAGTGTGCTCCTTGACTCTGTGAGAACAACTTTAAGGTCCACTCTTAAACATATACACCTGTTTGTTGCAGTGCATTTCCTTGTTTCTCCCTGATGACACATCTGCTTGATTAGTATTTCTGTAATTAAAGCCCCAGATGGTGGCCCTGATCCAGAAAAGGTTAGTCATCACAGTTAGCTATCTTTATACCAAGCCAGTCCCTTGATCCATCTCACCCCAGTATAATCAGCACTTGCTGACAGTGGTTTCCCAGGGTTCAGGCAGGATTCTTTACTAGCCCTGCTAGGTGATGCCAGGTATCAAGCCTGCTACCTTTGGCAAGCAAAGCTCTACCGTTGGCAAACAGGCATTCCCCTTTGACTGATGTCAAATCAAAACTAATTCTGCCTAAATTGAGTTCAAGTAACCAGGTTCGGCTATAGTGTATTTGTGTAAAGCCACATAAAGTCAATGTTCATTGCCAAATGGTAGCTACTGAAGATCTGGAATATGGTTTAAATCTAGCTATTTTATGTATTGTTGCTGCCTTGCTCCAATGCCCATATGTTAGGTATTTCTCACAAATTTAGCACCACAATTTCAGTTGAGCAAACCAAAATTTGGTTATTTCATGCTTTCTCTGTTTATACCAATTGTCACTCTGACAGAGAAGGGGAAAAGTGTGAGTATATCTCCACTTGGCTTACAATGCGCTTGCCTGATACAGAACAATTAATGATTTCTTTAAAAAGTTGGCTTTTCTTCTTATTAGGAGCAATGTCACCAGCTAAGCCTACAAATGAAGTTTGCCTAGATTATCATGCAGTCTCAAATGTATTTATCTTGCAACCTTAGCAGTTCTTAGAAGTACAAGGGATTTAAGAGGATGTCGAGTAAACACTTTCCAATTAGTGAGAAATTCAAAGAAAGCGAAACATAATAAGGCAAAGAAGGAAGGATTGGAGCCTCCAGAGTATCGAAGCAGTGCAGAGTCTTTCAGATCAACAAAGACCAAGCCTAGTACTTTGGGTGGCATGTTGCATAGGACTGGGGAGATCAGGGCTGAAATCTTGGCTAAGAAGCAAAGCTCATGGGAACCATTTGGAAAAGCAGGTTGCTTACCTGTAACTGATGTTCTTCGAGGGCCATCTGTGCAGTCACACATATGGGTACTGCGCCTGCACAGTGCCTGTGGCCAGAAGATTGATAGCTAACGGTTTGGCGGGAAAACTCCGCTCCCCTCCCCGCTAGCAGTATATATGGAGCGGAGTGTCCGCCATTTTCCAGTCTTTGACAGACCGGACGTTGGCTCTCTAAGAAACAAATGGTAACTAAGTATAATTTAATTTGTTTAATTTTAATTTTTTTTTATCGACAAGAAGAAAAAATATTGTGTAGGTACTGAGAGCAAGAGTAACACAGTACCGAAAACAACACCACCCAATGACACCGAGTGGGGCCGGTGGGTGGGTTGTGTGACTGCACAGATGGCCATTCGAAGAACATCAGTTACAGGTAAGCAACCTGCTTTTCTTCGTCGTGGCCTCTGTGCATCACACATATGGGTAGATTAGCAAGCTTATCCAGACTGGAAGGAGGGAAGGTGTCATCAACGAAGAATTGTTGAAAGAACGGCTCTGCCAAAGGAACAGTCCTGCCTAGCACGGACATCCAGCCGATAATGCTTTGCAAATGTACATGGAGTGGCCCAGGTGGCAGCCCTACAGACATCGTCAATCAGAACTCCCAACGCGAAAGCTGAAGAAGCAGCTACAGCTTTAGTAGAATGGCCTCTTGGGATTGTAGGTAAGTCCATCTTGGCCAATTGATAGGAAAGAGTAATGGTTTGGACTATCCACTTAGAGAGTCTCTGAGGGGTAACTGGAAAACCTTGATTTTGCTCAGAGCACTTGACGAAGAGTTTAGTGGAATGTCGAATAGACTCAGTCCTTGATCTATAAAAGGCTAGGCGGTGCCGAAAATCGAGCATATGCAAGGTTCTCTCAATTGGATTCGACGGAGATGGAAAAAAGGCAGACAAGACAATCTCCTGACCCAAGTGGAAGGAAGTAGCCACTTTGGGAAGAAAAGAGGGGTCCATACGTAGAACCACTTTCTCCCTGTAGAAATTCAGATACGGAGGGTCCACCCTGAGAGGACAGAGTTCACGAGCTCTCTGAGCTGATGTAACCGCTACCAGGAATGCTGTTTTCCAAGAAACAAGACGAAGATCTATCGTCGCCAAGGGTTTGAAAGGAGGTCTTGTTAGAGCTTGTAACACCACTGATAGGCTCCAAGTAGGCATAACCGGCCTAATCGTCAGATGAAGGTTATGCAGCCCCTTGAGGAATCTTTTTATCAGTGGTTGAGAGAAGATGGAGGAGCCTTGAACTGTACCCAGCTAGTAGGAAACTGCTGCCATGTACACTTTTATGGAAGATGGCTTAAGTCCGGAATGATGGAGTTCTAAAAGGAACTAGAGAATGTGGTCTATAGATGCAGAATGTGGAAGAAACGAGCGAGACTCGGCAAAGATAGAGAATTGTCGCCACTTGGCCGCATATGACTTTCGAGTTGACGGCCTTAGCACAGAATCGAGAATGCGTTGGATGTCCGGGTGAAACTGCATCGAACCCGATGGAACATCCATTGGATTCGAAGACAGATGGATGGCAGATGGATGCAAGGCATGGCGCAATGCGTCGGATCCGGGGACAGGATCCGTAGAACGTGAAGATAACGTCAGTAGCGAATCGGCGCCGACTGCTATCGAATTCGCCAGGCTGTCAATTTCAGCAATGTCAAGTCCAGATGGCGAATTGTGCCTTCTTGCTGGGTGATGAGATACGGAACTTGTGGGAGTTGACGATATTCTCCCTGAGAAACGTGAAGAAGCATCAAAATCCATGCTTGACATGGCCACCATGGAGTTATCAACAGTCCTGTGGCCCCATTGTAGATTATCTTCGATAGTACTCTCATAATGAGGGGATCGGAGGGAAAGTGTAAAAATTCATATTGTTCCAAGGGATCATAAAGGCATTCCCTGATGACCCTTGTCCGATTCCTGCTCTCGAGCAAAAAGTCTCACATACCCTGTTCTGACAGGTGGTGACTTTGTCCCTCCTTGTTTGTTCAGATAAAAGACCGTAGCAATATTGTCCGAAATTATCTGAATGACTTGATGCCGAAGAACGTCCTCGAACAAACACAGGGCCTTAAAAACTGCTAGGAGTTCCAGGAAATTGATATGGTTCCCAGATTCCTGTCGATTTCACATGCCTTGGGTGCGAAGACTGGAACACACAGCCCCCCATCCCAGTAGGGATGCATCAGTACCGAGAGTCACTGAAGGGCACCGGGGCCAAAATGGAACCCCAACTGATAGGTTGGCTGGGATTCTCCACCATAGCAGCGAGTGAAGAACAGATGATGGGATCCAAAGTAACTTTGTCGGTAAGTCCGTTTGAGGCCTGAACATTTTGTTGAAGAAAAGTTGAAGAGGACGAAGTTGGAGCCTGGCATGAGGGACAACGGCAACTGACGCAGCCATATGTCCCAAGATGGATCGGGCAGGAACCATCCTATCTCGTCGCATTTGATAGATGTGTCGAGCAAGGGTCTGCTGTCTGTCCCATGGGAGAAAGGCTTTTGCCAAAGTGGAATCCAGATGGGCTCCGATGAAAGTGATCATCTGTACAGGAACAAGAGAAGATTTCTCGGTGTTAATGCAAAGTCCAAGGTCTTGCAGCAGAGGACAGGTAGTATGTATCAAGGCAAGAAGTCCTTCTCTGGTCTGGGAGACTAGCAACCAATCATCGAGGTACGGATAGATTTGAACACCTCGGAGTCGTAGAAAGGCACAGACAGGGGCCATGCACTTTGTAAAAACTCTCGGAGTGGTGGCTAGTCCAAAGGGTAGTACCATAAATTCAAAAATTTCAGACGCAACAGCAAAACAGAGGAAATGGCTGACATGGATGGATTGATATGTGGAAATAGGTGTTCCTTAAGTCCAGTGAGGGGAACCAGTCCTCTCTCCTCAGCAATGGTAGGATATTTTGAAGGGTGGACATCCTGAATTTTTTTGTTGTGATGAACTTATTGATGTTTTGTAAGTCCAGTATTGGACGAAGACCATCATCCCGCTTCGGGACCGTAAAATATCTTGACTAGAATCCATGCGGTCCCTCTGTTAGAGCTAGTTGATGAATCGCTCCTTTGGGGAGAAGATGTCGAACTTCGTCGAGCAATGCAGGTGAACATGGAGTGACCTGGATTGGGCTCGAAGGAGGAAGGACGTTGAATTCTATCCGATAACCGTGTTGAATGATGGATAACACCCACAGATCAGATCTGATGGACTCCCAAATGGGGAGTCGGCC